ACACACACACACACACACACACACAATCACACACACACACACAATCACACACACACACACAATCACTCACTCACACACACACACACACACATGTACATGTGACAAGTACGTGACGCAGCGCCTTTAACGCTGTCCACCAAAGCCGTCCGTAGTCCTTGTTACCTTGAAGCTGCGTGCCTGTCAGGCCTGAAAAAGGCCCGGTCTAGGGTTCAGGGCCTTTACATCTTCAATAAAATAGCTTCCCCCTGGCCGTGTATCCTGAACAGGGTGTGCTCAAACATACGCAGGCAACAAGGGGGCGCGGCATATGTAGGGTGACAGGGCGTGAGGGGCTGAGTGGCCCGCAACATACCCCTAAACCTACACGCCTGAAAGCTTTCCACATGACCATGTCAGTGCCAGGGAAGTTCCGTTGTATATCTCATCATGGCTGTGTGGCTGTCCATGCACGCGTCCGTGACTTCACATAGTGCTTTTGGCTGCATGTTGGATAGTTTTTTCTTTGGGTTTCGGTTGTTTTGGGGGCTGGGCCGTCTGAATGTAACGACTTTGCTATGAGGCCTCACGAGCAACCTAGGCTCGCACGTGTTTTTTCGCGTGCAGGGCTTGGACAGCAAGTCACAAAAACACGCAGCCCAGGCTACGCTACGCGAGTTCTCACCCGATTTATCCGACTGCCCATACCGGGCAGTTCGCAGCTAAATGCGTCTTGCTGCAAGTAACGTGAGTGTGGAAACTGGCACATCTGTAGTTGCTTCCGTGCGAGCAAGTGAGAGGTCATGCCTGTAAGAACATTGTCTGCTGCTATTCGTCAGTCAGCTCGTGAACTGAGCTGCCTGAGTTCACGTTCCGTCTCCGCAAGGTTTTGAACGCACGCTTCGCAGACTTCGAGAGACAGGGCAAGCAGAAGCTAAGCTGCACAATTGCCTTGTGCTGGTCATTATACCCTCCCCAGGTTGCAGCTCAAAGGGTGTCTGTTGAAGCAGGGGCAGAAGCCCGAAACCACAGCTGAATGGTAGGCTGTTGAAGTGGACTCTCGGGGTTAGAAGAAGGAAGGGCCTGCGCGGACACTGGGACTGCGTTGAGAGAAGCTGCATTCGCCAAGGATGCTGCGCATCCCCTTCCTGACCAAGGCGCCTGCATGCTGAACATTTTCAAGCCTACACCCCAAGCCTGAGCCAAACACTAGAGTCATGACTCCACTCATAAAATCTTATAAAAAAACCGTTGCAAATCCAGATAAAGGCGGCTAATTAAGCCTTTGCTAGCCAAAGAAAGTAACGCCCTGAAGACACCTTGTCTCCTTCAAAGGCGAACAACAGCTGGCAAGACCGACCGCAGCTTGAGGTGCAGCGAGAAGGCGGAAGCAGGGTTTAGGGTTAAGGGTTTTAGGGTTTAGGGTTTAGGGTTTAGGGTTTAGGGCTTAGGGTTTAGGGTTTAGGGCATAACATGAATGACGTGAACCCCATAATTGTTTGTGATGGCAAGATGGCTCTTGAGACCTTGGGCGTTTATGGGGTTGATGGGAGGGCTTATTGTGGGGTTTTTAGCAGCAGGAACGACGTGAACAATAAACCCTTGAAACGTGCTAAACCTTTTCAATCCGTCAAACCCTTAAAAGCCCCCTCAAAACCCTTTAGACCCTAAGTTCATCTCCTTGACAGCTCCATCGGACCACCTCGGTGCTGGCATTTGGGCGTATGGCGGCCTGATGAAGCTCGCGGCCTGCTTGCACCACTCCTCACAAGGGGTGTTGTTGTTTCTCAGGAAGGGTATGCAGGATAGGATAGAACACCCCCACTCTTTCGAAGTAGACTCGTAAGCCCATGAACTTGCGCTCCGGTGGTGTTGCACTGGCTGCAATTCCTCTCAAAGCTGTGCAGTGGAATGTCTGCGTATCTCCGAGTTAGGGTACATGAAGCACAGGATGTGGCTGGCTATGAGGAGGACATCATGAAGGCCGTTTCTTGCCCGCACGCGGCGCAGAATCTGCTGAGCTGATGCTAGACAGCTGTGCTGACTCAAGCAAGTTGTCCACACATGTGGGGGTTTACGATGTTAGCGGTACCTTCTGGCGGTCCTTATTGTACGGGGATCCTATCATCTGGGGGTCAAGGGACCCCTAAGTATCGTAAACCCCCCATGTCAATGTCTCCCTTTGAAGCTGAGGTCCACCATCGAACTCAGCGTCACATCCAGCTGTTTCGACGATTGCAAGCACTTTGGCAATGCTACGATGCATATGCGCAGCTTAGATGCAACATGCCCGCTTTTGTCATGGGTATGGCAACGCAGCTCCAACAGTAGACGGGTCTGTCCATTGTTTTGCTTTCAGTGTTCTGCTTTGGCAAGTCTGCGTGGGGACGACTGCGCGACCCGAAACCAGACTGCAGGCGAGTTTGCATGTCTCTGGGCGTGAGGCGCGTGCTTGGAACACGGGTTAGTTCTCCACATGGTCTTTTTTGGGTACTCAAAGAAATGCACAGGGACGGTACCTCTGGGAATGTGACAGATGGTTGAAGTAGCTCTGCCATGACAGCAATGAACACAGATGCATTTGGTTGGAGGATGATGCTCCAGGGCATCTCCTACTACCTTCTGGGCTGCCTGTTTGCATTTAGAGTGGAGTCTACAGCCTGTCTGCATGCTGAAGGCTGCCAGCAACGTAGCCAGCAAGGCTGGCAGCAATTGCTGGCTAAGGCATATGCTGGGTGCAGATCAATGCGCCGTATGTGGCTGCAGCCAGCTTCCCAATTGCTTGCTTGACATCACTTCGCAGATCTGGACTTTCACTTTGATTGAAACCTTTGGACCGGATGTCTTTGCTGCTTCATTCCCCTGGTTCTCTCCTGAAATTCAGGCCTGCGCCCTGGTGTTTCAAGCGTTGGCATTAAACCTGGCGGCCCTGGACATCCATGGTGCCCTGGAGCGACGTCTAGACCGGGGCTGCTTTTCAGAGCGTTTGCTCTTAGTCCTGGTCCATCGGAAAGGAGAGGCGTGCGCAGAAGTAGTTTCGAACAGCAGGCGTGAACGACCTCTCGCTCATTGGGGCGCTGCCCAGCCGCTCGGCAAAGATTACTTCACTGTGCGGATATGAAAGAGGCAGGCCTGAACAATTGCGAAACCCTAAACCCTAAGCCTTAAGCCTAAGCCCTAAGCCCTAAACCCTAAACCCTAAACCCTAAACCCTAAACCCTAAACCCTAAACCCCAGGGAGTGTGCTCTGACATGGGTTGCAGGCCTCTGCGCCATCATGGCCTTGGCCTGTGCTCAGAGAACGCTGCTTGCTTGCTCGTAGACTTTTTTTTGTCTAGCATCGGCAGTGTGATGATGGAGGCGTAGGAGCACGTCACCACACCCGCTCATGTAAAGTTCCGAGGCCTTTTGGTGAACTGGACTCTGAGCAAACCTATGTGCCACTTGCCCACAGGGAGCAGGGGAGAGTTCCCACGGCCGCTTACAGCCAGTGAGCAGTTTCCTGAAGTAACACTGAGGTAGTATGCAGCTTCTTTAGGAGCACGTTTATTGGATCAGCGAAGTGAAGTGTTGATCTAAAGTTATGCCTTTGTCGCATCGAAGGCTCACGTTGATCATGTACCCGCTGGAAGTCCTGTGGTTCGAGATGCTCCACTGGCTCCTCGGATGTGCGAGCACGCCGGCCGTCCAGACAAGCTTGTTGCTTTCTGCCGCAGTGCCTTAGCCACCCTAAGCCCTAAGCCCTAAGCCCTAAGCCCTAAGCCCTAAGCCCTAAGCCCTAAGCCCTTAGCCCTAAGCCCTAAGCCCTAAGCCCTAAGCCCTAAGCCCTAAGCCCTAAGTCCGAAACCCTAAACCCTAAACCCTAAGCCCTAAATCCTGAACCCTAAACCAAGAAGGGTATCTGCCAGAGTCTCTAAGGTTGGCGTCTCCTATGGGTGATGCTGGATTCCTGCCTCGTCAGTTCAAGTCCGTGCTTTTCATGGATGTCCCTGCGCAAGCAAGCAGGGCAGGAGCCATTGGGAGCTTTCGGGAGCTTGGCGTCAGGTTCATGCAGTTTCAAAAAAAGCATGCGGCAGTTCACTGTGCAAGCTGAACATGCACCTGGGACAGAGGTCTTCAGTGACCTCAATGAGTCTGGGATGGTGACGAGTGAGGAGAAGGAGGTGGTGGAAATGAGGCGGCCTGAGGCCAGGATGGACACCTTTCCCGTTTTAGGGCTTAGGGTATTGTAGCTGCCAGAAAACAGGTGCAGAAGGCTTTGAACATCACGCGGGCGGCCATTCGACGATGGGAGGCGCAGCCAACACTTCTGCTTTCATCCAGCCGCAATCCCAAGTCGTACAGACACTTGTGGCGAGTTGCATCGAACTCAGAGCCTGAGAGTGTAAAGAGAAGTCTGCTCCTAGACCTTCTGCGCAGGCCGTTCCCCGAAGATGGCTAACCCTGCGGCAGTATCGCCAAAGAAAGCAGCTGCTGAGAAGCCACTTGGAAGCTGAATCATATGTCGGAGATGTGCAGTTGCACTTCTCCATGCTTTTCACCCGGCTGCTTCTGGTTTCGGGCTGTTCAAGCGTTTTTGTCAGGCCTTTCGGGGTTTAAGGTCTAGCTTAGGGCTTTGAGCAGATTTTTTTCTGCACGAGTTCGGATGGACTTCAACTTGGCACCCCAGGTTACAATGCCACAGCAGATGCCTTCGTAGACTTCATGGAGAAGCTGGAGATGCCAATTCCTGTCGAGGCATGCGAGTTTTTTGCATCACAACCCCCCCCCCATTGCTCCCTGGAGCTTTGGGGCTCTGTGTGTACAAGATATCATACTCTTGGTGTTATACAAAAATTGCAAAGTTGTAGTATAAGATGAGATAGTGTCGTGTGAACACATTAGTATAGCTACTGCAATGCCACAGGACGACCGTCCTTGGGCACAGTTCCCTGCAGCTGAACGACGCAAGGACCCCTTCTCTGGCACGGCAGCTCAGATGCAGAAGCCACGGAGCTGTCCTACAAGAAAACATGCGTTTATTTTACAAACTATATTTGGTTATGTGTCGCTATACTATATTATATTCTACTGTGTATTAGCTTTTTCTCGTAGGACTGCGTGGGGCATCCTTGAAGAGTCGCACTTCGGGCGTCCTCGAGCTTGTCAAACGCCCGAGCAATGTTATATCACTATCCTTTACTATACTGTGCTGTATTATACTATGCTATACTATACTATACTATACTATACCATACTATACTATACTAAACCATGATATACGATACTTTGCCATACGACATTATCCTGTACACTCTATTGTGTGATTTAGTTCCGGCTTTCATCAGTTGAGATGAGAGAGATTTATTTGTAGATGTTGCATGTTGAGGTCCTTGGGCCGTTCTCCTTTTGGTTTGGCACTGGGGTGGTCTCCACGCGCCTTCGGTCGCAGCGAGTCGCGTGATCGGCAGCATGAAGCCCCGTGACCTGAAACCTTACCTCCTTAGCTGAGCCCTATAAGCCCTAAACCCTAAGCCCCAAACCCTAAACCCTACACCCTCAACCCTGAGCCCAGGTGGTTCTACGATATAGAAAGCCGGTACAGGTCTCAGAATGGCTCCTCGGCGCGGTTCGAGCAGAGTTTTGCAATCGCGAAGCCCAGACAGGCCCTACATGCTACAATCTGGCGCCCTTCCCACGCTCATGTTCATGGGTTCCTCCGCTACCCCCCCTCTCCACAACCCCCCCTATAAGTCCCCCCCTAAATAACCTTAGTTATATAGGCTTAACTGCCATATCACCGTAATCATATAGGCTAATTTCCATATCACCGTAATTATATAGGCTTAATTACCATAGAACCTTAATGTTATAGGCTTAACTACCATGAAAAGTAGGAGAGCTTAGCTTTTATAGGGTTTAAAAAGGGGCCCAGGTGTGCTGTATGACAGACCACCGAGCGACAAGATCTTGGACCTGGACTCTGCCATGGCCATCTGCATGGCCCCTCGGAAAGCTCGTCTTTGGCAAAATAAGATTTTCTAGAATCTAGTACACTGATATAGTACACTGATATAGTACACTGATATAGTACACTGATATAGTACACTGATATAGTACACTATGGCAAAATAAGATTTTGGCACAAGAATATAGTACACTAAGATAGTACACGATGAAATTATAATATGGTATAAACTAGTATTTGTAGAATGCCGTGGCCCAAGGAGTTCAAGCGGAAAGTCGAGATGATGACACATGGAACCTTGGTGAGATTGGCAAAGGCCTTGTTGATCATTTTGCCGTTTCTCTCCATCCGTGAACTGCAAGGAACGGTCGATGAAACTTCCGATCGCAGTGATGACTCGGACCAGGTGTGCCAGGGTGTAGCAGTAGTCTCGGATGTTGTGCACGTCACTTGCTGTTTCCAGGAGATCATGTGTCAGTCGATGCCTGCAAGCTTGTGCCATGTCTGGCAGCATTGATGTCAAAGGACATGGCCACAGGAAGCCAAATCTCAAGAGATGCTTCTCAGCTGGCAAGAGCACCACTAAATAAACCCTACACCCACTAAGCCCTAAGCCCTAAGCCCTAAGCCCTAAACCCTAAACCCTAAACCCTAAACCCTTTAAGCCCTTGGCATCCTGAGGATGAGAGGACTCCCCTTCGAGGCCGCGCGGAGCGCGGCGGACTCAGTCAGTCTCCGGGTGCTTGCACCCACAAGATGGAAGTACAGTGGGTTTAGGGTTTAGGGTTTAGGGTTTAGGGTTTAGGATTTAGGGTTTAGGGTTTAGGGTTTAGGGTTTAGGGTTTAGGGTGAATTGGGTACTTCTTACCCTATATCCCTTGGAGGGACTACAAGGGGCACCTAAACCAGCAATGTCTACTTACTGTCGGTTAGGTTAGGGAATGAAGGAATGCAGTTTGGCAATCATATTTTCTATTCTTTCATTCCCTGCGATCCTGCAGTATGTTGTGTCGAGGCAGCTGTCAGGTTTGATGGCTGAAAGTTGTTGGATGCTAGAGTTTGGGTTTGAGGGCATAGGGGAGAAGTGTAAAGACACCTGAAGCGCAGCTTGAAGCCTAAGCCCGGGCATAGGGGAGAAGTGTAAAGAACCTCAAGCGCAGCCTAAGCCCCGAAGAATCAGGAAGTCAGGCGGACGCCAACATCGAGGTCAACCGCCTGCCGTGGAACCTGGTCAGCTTCGTGACGCGAGCCATCCAGCTGGTCTGGAGCCTCTGCTGCACGGGGCAGGATGGGTTTAGGGTTTAGGGTTTAGGGTTGAGGGTTTAGGGTTTAGGGTTTAGGGTCTAGGGTTCAGGGTTTAGGGTTGAGGGTTTAGGGTTCAGGATTTAGGGTTGGGGGTTGAGGGTTTATGGTCTTGAGGCTCTAAGCGAGCCCCCCCATGCGTCCTGCAACCTTGGAACCGCTGGAAACCATGCACACCAAGAAGGCATCGAACAGTTGAGCACCGCGACCAATTTGGTGTGTTGCGTAACCCCACACCCTACCCCCTAAATCCAAAATCCCCAAACCCCAGATCCCCCAAACCCCTAGACCCTGGATACCAGAACAACCCCCCAAGCCCCCCCCCCAACCCCCTAACACCACCAAACCCCCCAAGGCCCAAGACGCCTAAGCTCGATGTACCCTAAACCCTAAGCCCTAAACCCTAAACCCTAAACCCTAAACCTAAACCCTAAACCCTAAGCCCTAAACCCTAAACCCTACGAAGCCACCGCCTCCACCCCTCTGCTCCCCAAGGCTTGGACTGGGTGTCATGGCCATCCTTCGTGAGACGAAGACACACATCTTCGACTGGCAAGCGCGCCTCAGCGCGGCTTAGGCCCTTGGGGACCCTAGACCCTTAAATCCTAAACCCTAAACCCTAAACCCTAAACCCTAAACCCTAAACCCTAAACCCTAAACCCTAAACCCTAAACCCTAAACCCTTACATCCTAAACCCTGAACTCTAAACCCTAAACCCTAGAGGGGTGCAATCAAGCAGGGCTTTCGGGTTTAGGGGCTTTAGGGTTTAGGGACTTCAGGGGTTTCATCCAGGACTCGGACATACTAGGGCACGAGGCGGAGTTGCTTGAGTGCCCTCTCCTAGATATCCGCAGTGCCAGATCGGAGAGGCGAAACATGGCATTGGTGCAGGCTTTCGGGTTTTAGGGTGCAACTTGCGAGGGTTTTTCCGGGGTTTTTCCCGCCGACAAGGTCGCACATCGTCGAAGAGCGACGACTCGCGGCATCACAGGTCGCCTTGCATGCACATTGGGGGGGGGGGCGGGGTTCTCCAACCTCCGGTTCCTTTTCGTTTCTTGATGATGATAATACGGAGCCTCCTGTATTGAGGTACCCAAGAACAATTTTGAGAGCTGCCCAAGTGGCTTTTTCATCTCCTTTCTGTGATCTGAGAGCATGGAGGTACCTGAAGTCGTATTCGAACAGCTCAATGTTTCTTGGCCATATGGCCACTTCTTCAGCCCAGATGCTCTGCTGCTTGGATCTACGATTGGGACGCCAAAGACATAGACAGGGATTTACGTCCCGGTTTGATCCACTGCTTCTGCTGCGATGCAGGTCCTGCCAGTCGAAGGGTGAGGTCTTGGTTGGCTCTACTTTTGCCCAGTATGCCGTCTTGGCCGCTCGATGGCTTCTGGATGCATACACGTGTACCCTAATGACATCTTATGACTCGACGTGCCGCGAAGGACACGGAACAGCCGATTCAACTTGTGGAGAAGCTTCCTCAGGACGATGCACCATACGCATTGCAGCATGTAGGGGACCACTGAGGCGTTGAGCATGAAGTCGTCCTATGTGTCGTGTTGCCCCCCTCCCCGCCGTTGCAAGAAGGAGATTCCCGGTGGTTGGCGGCTTGCGTGTGACAAGACCGGTCTGGAATGTCTTTGGGTCGAGCAGCGGGATGACAGTCCTAGCACCCTCCAGCTGCACGACGTCAACCGCACAGCTGGCCTTGCCCCCATGACAGTCGAGCTGCGAGACTCGACTGCATCATCCTTCCTGTTTCGGATGACACCTTGTTCAACCAGGAAGTGTCGAGAGTTCACACAGAAAGCAGGCCCATAGTAGGGCTGACTACAAGGTTCGGGTTGTAGGGGTGACGGGCTCCAGCAGTCGAGGCGGCGTCACCCCTGCAAGGCCTCGTTGGCGGTACTTGGCAGGCTCAGTGCTTTCCTGCGCATTGCTGGAGAATCCTCCGAGCGTCCTCAAGCGTCTGAAATGCAAGCAGTCGAGTTCTCGAATTCTTCTGTCTACTGTTTAGTGTTTAGTGAAGCCCAGGAGAGGGGGTATGTATATGATGATGATGATGATGATGATGATGATGATGATGATGAGGATGATGATTATGAATGCCATGGTTATTGTTTTTGTGAGAATCGTAGTGGGTATTAATACCAAAATAACCACATATATATATCCACACACACACACACACACACTTGTATGAGTGTGCTTGGCCAAGGACTGCATCTGGATCCTGCCTCCTCGTGGCTCTAGGAGATGGCACGAATGAGATCAGCTTCGCGACCGTCGAGCTACCAAGGACCTGTAAGTTACTTAAGTCTAACCAGATCTCATCCTCCATGGCGTCTTCCGAAACAGGCTCGACCTCCGAGAGCCTTGCAGGACTCGGGATGATGCGAGCCCTCTCAAGCTGAGACTGACCCTTCGCTCCCAGCTTGCATTGGAGTTGAAGAACGCAACCTCCAAGCAGGACCGAGTCATCGGTATGCGGCATGCGGCTTTGGCATGAATCACTCCGTGCTAACCCATGCACGCTCACGCATATCCATGTGTCGTCGCGTCCAGGACCCTCTTGCAACATCGGAGGAAGTAGATGCCGTGCATTTGGATTTCGCACAGGATACTCGGAGTGCAATGCAAGACGGCTGGAGGTTTAGTATTTAAGGCACGCAGGGCTGCCTCGATATGCTGTGGGGGGCACAGCTATGTATTTATTTTGACATATACGTATATAATATTATACATGTATGGTTGTTCCCTGCAGACCCCTGATTCCCCTCCATCCCTCGCGCCCCCCCCTCCCCCCCCCCCGCCCCCCGGTGGTTTGTGGTTGGTGTTAGGGTTTAGGGGGCTTAGGCCTTAGGGGTATATGGGGTTTACGGTTTTAGGGATTAGGGTTTTTGGTTTTAGTTAGGGTTGTAGGGTTTTAGTGTTTAGGGTTTTCGGGTTTTAGGGTTTAGTGTTTTAGGGTTTTAGGGTTTTAGAGTTTTAGGGTTTTAGGGTTTTAGGGTTTTAGGGTTTTGGGGTTTTAGGGTTTTAGGGTTTTAGTTTTTTAGGGTTTTAGGGTTTTAGGGTTTAGGGTTTCAGAATTTCGGTGTTTAGAGCTCCGGGTTTAGGGGGTTGAGCGTGCAGACCGTAAACCATGGGGGGGGGGGGGAAACGCATAGCGCACAACCATATATACATATATATATATATATATACTCACTTATATATATATGTGTATATATATATATATATATGTATATATTCCTAACGCAAATTCAGTATAGGTCGAATCTGAGCTGTGACTATGAACAAAGATAGATAAACGAAGATCAGCTCGGCAAAAAAAGTATTAACAAACATAATCAACAAAACAGATGAAACAAAACGTGTGTTTTTATCCATGGCAGCTCAGGAAGGGTGGCTCTGGGTCGTGGTTTCAACTGGCCGGCTGGAGCTCTGGGACCTCATGAGCACCTTGGGGGGCAGACTTAGAAAACCAAGCCCCCTGAAAATCCCCCAAAATCCTCACGCGTTTGACGTGTGGGGAACTGTGGAGAGAGAGGCGACCGCCGGCTGAGCCACGCCGGGCAGCTCCCCAAAGGCTGATAGCTGAGAGGGAGTGTGCTGGGTGACGGATGAGGAGGCCTGTGGCGCTCTTTTCTTGACCTGCTTGGCCCTCAGGCTTTCGAGGCTCCGGTCTCTGTGTGCGCCCTGGCGGATCACTTCTGGTCGTCGGGCGCATGCAGCAAGTTCCCATCATGCTTGGGGCGATCCCAAGAGATGGGCTGGTGCAGCTTTGATTTGAGTGCGAAAAGCATCGCCTGCGCAGGGGCTGCGCGGGTAGATCTGCAAGTAGAGCCTGCAAAGCGCACCTTGATGCTGTTGATCGGCGCAGCGCGTACCAGATTTCAGTGCCCCATGCCAGGTCGTCCAACACTACGTGAAGTTCCCAGGATTTGAGGCCAGTTTTCCTGAGCAGGACCATCTGTCCTAACAAAGCTCTGCACAGCGGTTGGCGAAGCGCTGTTCACTGCTACAGGGTGTCCCAGCTGGACTTGGCGCTTTGACCACTGCGCCGGGGCTCTCAGTGGCTCTCAGACTAGGAGAGCAACCAACCGGGCATATGCTCACAACTTCATAGTTGAATAGTGCAGTGCAGCAGCTTTGCTGGCACAAGCCCTTTGCTCCCTCCACGAAGTCTCCCGTGTCAGAGGCCCGGCTCGTACGGCTTCGTGGTGCCTGCCTTGGCTGCGAGAGAGTGACACATGAGCCAGTCAGCCTTAGCCGACGGGGTGAAACCTATCTTCAAGCCCTAAGAACTGAGCCCTGAGTGCTGAAATCGGAACCCAAGCCGTAGCCAAGAGCCCAGGCACTGTTCCTGCTCAGCGGCGCTATGGAGCTGGGCGTTTGGACTCAGGACCTCCTCGAGTTTAGGGTTTTAGGGTTTAGGGTTTAGGGTTTAGGGTTTAGGTGGGGTTTAGGGTTTAGGGTTTAGGGTTTAGGGTTAAGGTAGCCTGCTTCTCAGAGCCCTTGCTAGCTTCTCTGGCCTGGAACTAGTGAGCTGCAAAATGAGCATGGAGCTCGCACTGTTGGAGCCCCCCCAACCCTCCCCCGCGCACCTAATACTTGTAGCCTGGCAAGCCCTAAACCCTAAACCCTAAACCCTAAACCCTAAACCCTAAACCCTAAACCCTAAACCCTAAACCCAAAACCCCTTTCTCCCCCAAGCATTTTGCAGGATCCCAGCAAGGAGGCCGGTGACTTCGGTGACCCCCTGGGCTCGGGAGCCAAGCTAGGTATGAGGATTCAGGGCTGAGAGGGTTTAGGGGTTTAGGGGTTTAGGGGTTTAGGGGTTTAGGGGTTTAGGGGTTTAGGGTTTAGGGTTTAGGGTGTAGGGTCTAGGTTTAGGGTTTAGGGTTTAGGGTTTAGGGTTTAGGGTTTAGGGTTTAGGGTTTAGGGTTTAGGGTTTAGGGTTTAGGGTTTAGGGTTTAGGGGTTCATAAGTTGCGGGCCCCAGGGATGGTCAGGGCTTTCAGTCGGCTTTGCACTCGTAGGGTTTCAACTTGGGGGGCTTTTGGGCTAAACGGGCGTTCGGGTAAGGGGTGCGGGCTCCCATATTGGGTGGGGGTTTAAACCCTAAACCCTAAACCCTAAACCCTAAACCCTAAACCCGAAACCCTAAACCCTGAACCCTAAACCCTAAACCCTAAATAAACCCTAACCCTAAACCCTAAACCGGGGATTTGTAAATCGATTGTAGGGTTCAGGGGTTCATGGGGTTCGGGGCTTACGCCAGGTTTGGGTTTGGGCCTCCAGGGCTTGGGATCGGAGGTCACTTCCATGAGGAGGGCCTGGGATGCTGTTCTGAAACCCTTAAACCCTTAAACCCTTAAACCCTTAAACCCTTAAACCCTTAAACCCTTAAACCCTTAAACCCTTAAACCCTTAAACCCTTAAACCGTAAACCCTTACTGTAAGCCATCTTAAACCCTCACCCTGAACCCAGGTCTTGGCCAATTCAACGAGGAGATGAGGAACAAGGCAGCCAAGATGTAGGGGAGAATGTTCACAGAGCTGAAACTGTTTCAAGATCACTTGCAGACAGGAGCTCAACAACGGACGCTTTGCCATGCACCAGCCTCGACTCGCCTGCTGCAATGTATGACGGGCCAGATATCACAACATGAGATGCCCCGCTGAGCATCGTGTGCTTCGACTGGCCCAAGCGTCTACTGGTAGGACTTCAGGCTTTGCGACGTGCAATCTGTTCACTTTCAACCCCCCCTCCCCCCCCCCTTCCGCTCCCCCTCTCTCCCGTCAACGGTCAACACTCACACTTAAAGACTTCTGCAACAGTGCAGCCCTAAGAATGGAAGCATTCTGCTCACACCCAACACTTGCCTGAGCAGGGGTGCGCCATGGCCTGAATGCAGCGGAGACATGGCTCGGTCGTCAGATGTCGGAACCTCAGGAGGCATCCCAGCCCTTGGCTGTGACTGCCGGGGGGTGGATACCCTAAACCCTAAACCCTAAACCCTAAACCATAGTACAGTGCTGCCCAGGTGCTGGATGACGGCTTCCAGGACTGACAATGCTTGGCTGCTGCACTCAGTTGGCGGACTGCTGCAGATCAGGAGGAGATGGAACTGCTGCGGGCCATGTGGCCCGAGCAGGCCCTGAGTCATTTTTTTTTCAAGATCTGCATGACAAGGCTGTAGGAAATCTTGGCTTCTGCTGCACACTCCCGCCAGTCCGACCTGTGCTTTGAGCACTTCCACGACCTCCCCGGCGACGTTCACACTCGAATCTCTGTGCAGCTGGTTCCTCACACAGCTGGGGAGGAGCAGGGACGCTTCGTGCGCTGCCAGCTCCTGCTCGACGTGCCGCGCGGCTACCCGCAGAAGCCGCTGCGATTGGAGCTGGGAGCCTCACGAGGCCGGCAGGCATCCGAAACCCTAAGCCCCAAGCCCTAGGGGCGATTCCTGTTTTAAAAAAGCCCCAAGCCCTAAGCCCTAAGCCCTAACTAAGCCCTAAGCCCTAAGCCCCGAACCCTAAACCCAAACCTGGGGGGCTAAACAGGAGCCTCTCTTCAGGTCCTCTTGACCCTAAAAAAGCCCTGAGCTTCCCAAAGTTCTTCTTTCATGCCGAGGCCTCTCGGATTCCACCAGCGAAGGCTTTCTCTCCCGGCTGGCAGCTGTATCCGATGGGCTCTGTGGGCAGCCAGCAGTCTATGCGCTTCTTCAAGCACCTCTGAGCAGAAGTCTTGTTTCAGTTGGGGTTCTGGGGTTTGGGGTTTCTTGGGTTTGTAGAGGTTAGGGTTTGGCGGTATCACGGATGACGCCGAAGCAGTCTAGGCAGCTCAAGACATGTTGACGGAGTTGAACGTTCCCTGTGGCGACTGCGCCATCTGCCTCCTAGATCTCGACGTGGAGGATGATCAGGTGTCCTAAGCCCTAGTTTAAATGGAGTACAGGAGCCGAGATTGTCAAGAAGCCCCCTTGACTGGCATGTTTCGGAAACGACGCAGGAGGACTGCAACGTGAAGCAGAGTCCATGCTGTGCCCTGAGACTCTGCTAGGCGGATCCCGTGGTGCGAACTCCATGTTATCACGCCTTCCACCATGGGTGTTTGGCGAGTTACTGGTGGACGGAGTGGGAAAAGCAGCTGCAGAACCTTTGCCTGACTATGATTTATCGCGCTTTCTATGAGTTCTTAGTTATGGTCCTTTCCGCAAGTTCTTTTGAGAGCGCCGATGCTTCCCCAACCTTCAAAGGCCTTTGAGTCTGCGGGTGCAGTCCACTAGCCGCGTTTCAGCCGCAGAGGCTCTGAGCTTCAAACCGCACACATCCCTAGGCCCATAAAGCCGTAACCCTGAACCCTACAAACTCTAAACTCCACTGAGCTGGCACATTGGGCGACTTGAGGGTCTAGCAGCTGTTCTATATACCATTGTGTTCTCATGGGGTTTACGGTTAACGAAGACCAAACTTCTCAAAGTGCTGCTTGAGAGACCTCCCCAAACCCCACAAAACCGGAGCAGGTCTGTTGCCCTGAGTGCCGTTTGCCGCTGCCCTGGACAGCGCTGAGCGCCCTACACTTGCCACCTGGCTAAGTACACCCGAGACCCTAAACGCTCAACGCCCCGTACAGCCCTAGTAGAAAGCCCTCTCAAAGCCCTCTGGGAAGCTTACAATCTAAGCGCGGAACTTGGGAATGAGGCAATCTTAGGCTACCCCCTGTATAGTCCCTTAAGGGCTTACCGGGCGGTACACCGGGGGATGCAAGGTACCTACCCTCAACCCTAAACCCTACACCCTCAACCCTAAACCCTAAACCCGAAGCCCTAAACCCTAAACCTAAACCCTAAACCCTAAACCTAAACCCTAAATCCTAAATCCTAAACCCTAACCTAAATCCTAAACCCTATCTCTCTTGCTGTAAGCAAGAGGTCGTTGGAGGCCCGGGACGCTGACAGGCGCGGGGCTGTGAAGATCGAGGAGCCAGGAATCAGAAACCCTGGCGGATTTCGGTTTTGGGGTACCCGCTCGTTTTTTTGTTTTTTCTCCAGGCCTTCGGGATGAATGGATTTGGGCTGTGACTGGTTTAGGCCTTGATAGATAGGGTTCAATGGTTTTTGGTTTTATGGTTTAGGGTGCAGGAGCCACCGAGAGACCCGGAGAAGGAGGGCGCGACGGAGCCTTTGGAAGAGGTTGAGGCCAAGCCTTACCATGGCTTTTGGCTTTGCAGGTTTCGGGTTCGGACCTATGGTCCTATGGTTTGCTGGGGTCTATAGGATTTTGATTCGGGCTGCGGTTTGTGATCGTTTGGATTGTTTTTAGGGGGCGTAGGGTTTCGGATTTGCGTCTTTTTAATCTTTTTTTTTTTGCAGAGGGCGGCTTATGTTTGACAGCTCTTTCTTGGAAGGTCTTGCATCCACAGGAGCCATCGCTCCCGATGCTGGCTCCCTCCCCTGAGGAAGTGCTACTCTTTGAGGCGAGGCGAAGTACTTTCTTTGTCTCCGAATGGCCTGTAAGCACTAGAAGGCGTGTGAGCAGCCCCAGAAGACACATTAAGCCCCTAGAAGCCCCAAAAGCCCCTGTAAGCAAGCACTGAAGCCTGCTATGGCCCGAACCAGGTGGTACATCCCAAGGGGACCTGCTTTCGGAGCCGCCCGCGTTGGTCGGCGAAAGTCGCCAACGGCCAGGTGGGGTTTAGGGTTTAGGGTTTAGGGTTTTAGGGTTAACCTGAGTTCTTCATACGTGGTTGTTTTGATGAGGGCTGAGGGGGTTCAGGGCCTCACAGGTCCTTCTGATACGAGAAGTCATTAGAACGTTTAGGGGACCCTTACTTAAGAACAGGCCCAGAATGGGTAGTCCTTAAGACTGGGAGCCCGTCATTGCGGCTTCTTCCTTTGCACTTCGACGCCTTTCTTGTCAGCAAAGAACGCCAGGAGATTAGGGATCAGGGTTTAGGGTTTAGGATTACGAGTTTGGGGTTTAGGGACCCTAAACCCTGTAGACCCTAAACAGGTCTCTCGAGGAGTCCAGGGAGTGGTGGCGGAGCTTGTCGAGGGTGGCTTGCCTGGAATTGGGGTCTGTCCATATTCAATGTGGGATCGTTCGTCATCAGGGTTCAGGGTTTAGGGCTTCGGGTCTAGGAGAATAACAGAATGAAAGCAATACTGAGCCTAACCCCTAAACCCTAAACCCTAAACCCTAAACCCTAAACCCTAAACCCTAAACCCTAAACCCTAAACCCTAAACCCTAAACCCTAAACCCTAGTCAAACGTTTGTCACTCGTGTTGCCAGCCTCCCAAGGTGACACGACCTATCTTCGGCCAGAAGGCTCGTCGAAATACAGCAGCGGGAGGATGAAGCATAGGATCCCGTATCTGGTAGAAAAGTCTCTCTCTATATATGTATACATATATTATGTGTATATATGATGATGATGATGATGATGATGATGATGATGATGATGATGATGATGAAAATCATATATGTTTATGTATATATATATATACTTATATATATGATGCATGTATGTATGTATGTAGGTAGGTAGGTATGTATATATATATATATATATGATGTATGATGTTCTTATGGCTGTGAGCGTTTTGTGCATTATGCTCGGTCACAGTGCCGTGCGCCGACACAGGCCCCTGCGTTTCAAGAATGCAACAGACCATTCGGGACCTAAGCGGACAGACAAGACAAGATGTATGATGTATGGTGTATTATATGATGTGTGCATATATATATATATGTACATTTATTAGAATGGTATATGCCTATACATGATTAGATCTTGCCGAAGGACTGTGAACATGATCAGGTTCGAAGCACTTCCTTCCGGTCAAGGGCCTCTCTGCAAACATCAAGTCGCCCGGTTACAGAGAAGCTTGCATCAATCACCATGCTGCAGAAGAGCTTCGAGTAGAGTGTGTTGCAGCTTTGAGGTTAGTGCACCTTGAGCAACAGCGCAAGGCATTGGGAACTCTTTGGAGTCTTGCGAATGCTTGTACTTTCTGGGCCCATCCAGCTTGCCGGTGCAGGAAGCTGCATGTGCGGCATAGCTGTGCAAGCGATCCGGCGCGCTGCACGTCTGAGAGTGGCACGGTCACAGGGTGGATGCCAGAGCTCCCCTGTTTTCCTGAAGTGCATGGTTTTTCGCGTGCTGGATCTCACCTGCCTGTAAACGCAGGCGTTGGTCAATGCTTGCAGCTGAAGTTTTCTGGCTCGCTGGTTTCAAGGGCCACTTTCCGCGCGACTGGATTCAGCTGGCATGAGGACGTTGGCCTGCCGGTTCATGGCAGGGAATTGGGGATTAGGTAACTTATGGCCCCTGCCCCCCCCCCCCCCCCCGCCTAAAGAAGCCCTCAACCCCAAACCCTAAACCTGAGATCTCTGAGAACCGGCAAGCTTTTCAAGATCAGGGACCGCTTTCCCAGGTTTGCGGCTCTCGGAATCATCTCGGCAGACTTGCTCACTGGCAAGGACCGCCTCCACCTTTGAGAGGGGTATTTCGTTTTTAAAAACAAATAAATACGTATATATATATATATAAAACTAAATAAATCGATATAAATAAAAAATATAAATACACATATAAGTATAAATATAAATATAAATATGAATATAAATATGAGCATAAATGTAAATGTGAATATAAATATAATATATATATATATATATATATATATATATGTTAGAAGTGTATTATAGCGTATGAGTTATGAAGTATTCTTCGGTGACAAGCTATTAGTAAGTTATTCACGGGTTTCAGTAGAACAGGTATTGCATACCGGGTATTGTTGGATTCTAGGGTGTTGTAGGGTATCGTTGGTATTGCAAGGTGTTGTAAGGTGTTGTAAGGTGTTGTAAGGTGTTGAGGATTTAGGGTTTAGGGTTTAGGGTTTAGGGTGCCTGCATGCCCACTGCACGTTGCAAAAGAAGCTGCATGCGGCAAGGATGCGATGCAGCAGCCGCAGCCTTACGCTGCTTGGGTTTGGGTTTTAGGGTTTAGGGTTTAGGGTTTAGGGTTTAGGGTTTAGGGTTTAGGGTTTAGGGTTTAGGGTTTAGGGTTTAGGGTTTAGGGTAGCAGTAGTCTACAACAATATGCAGCAGCACTGTTTCTGCTGCAAATTTTGCAGGTTCGGGGCCTGACCATGACACAATGATGCAGGGACCTCAGAGGGAGCAGCAAGGTCAGTTTAGGGTTTAGGGTTTAGGGTTTAGGGTTTAGGGTTTAGGGTTTAGGGTTTAGGGTTCAGTTGGAGCGATTTGCCTCGGGCTTAGTACTTTTAAGCCTCGGATCTCGCAAGTTTTCGAGCGACTGCCACATTTTTCACGCCGGCCCCTCGTTGCGACTCTTCAGCGACTTCATCTGAGTAAGGCTCGACCCTTTTGGACACGCACTTTGGACACGTACAGAGGATTACGACAGCTGGAGTATAGACGACACATCCCGAAGCGCTAGAGCCTAAGTCCCGAAGATCGTGATCTCTGCTGCGTAGACAGACAAGATGATTGCCAGGCCTCCACAACGTTTCATCCACCCTCTGAGCGGAGCTCCTGAAGCTGCCAAATTTAGGGTTTAGGGTTTAGGGTTTAGGGTCACTGTGTTTGGGGTGCTTACAGGGTTTGGGGATCTGGAGGGTTTAGGTTTTCCTAAGCCCTAGACTCACAAGTTCGACCCCTAAACCCCCAAACTGAGTGGTTTCGGAGGGAGGACTCGGGCGCAGCTTTGTGAGAGCAATGCTTCATGAGTACACCGTGCCGGTCCCAAAATGGTGTGCACTCGCGCATCAGCCGTTACAGTGTTTCTTGGGTAAGGCTTGTCCCAAAAGGGAAACGCTTATGGTACGGCCCTGTTTGTGCTTATTGCTAGTATGGATTGCTGGTGCCCCGAAGACGATATCGCGTATCGGTGTTGGGGTACCTCATTCCAGTATGACACCACATTCAAGTTCCTCAACTTGCTTTCATTTTCTGGATATTGAAATGTGGAAGTGCCGCCTGGAGACTGGAGTGACCAGCAATGCTCCTCTGGGTACCCTGTTCATAGTACAGCCCGAGAATGGACCAGGGTTTGGAGAACTGCCCATATGAAGCTCAGACGCACTGTGAAAACACTTGGCTGCAAGCTGAAAGGTGGTCCAATGTGACCCTTGTGTGGAGATGACACGCGCGTTCATACATGTCCCCACATCTGATGTTCCAAGTTTCCCCCAAGTACATCAACCAGCATACCCCAAACCACAAAATTGAACCTTAAAGCCATCAACCCCCAACCCTGAGCCCTAAACCCTAAACCCGAGCTGTTATCTGGGAAGCTACATGATTTTCGAGCTGGCGCGATGGACCTTCTGAAGCTCGGCGGTGAGGTGGGCGAAGTCTCGAAGAGAGGGGTTGCCAGGGTGAGCTCCTACGTGCGACGCATGAGACAGCAACACGGCAACAGGCCTGCACAGCGACGACCCGCGCTTGCTCTGACTGCAAGGCCCGTGGCCCGTCCCATCTCGACATCAGGTGCAAAGCAAAGCAAACTCAAGCTCTTCAGTGCAGGAGCAGGATGAGCTCCTGACCTCAGCCCTGGCCTCAGTCACCTCAGTCACCTTGGTCACCTTAGTCGCCTTAGAGTCCTTAGCAGCCAGCAAGTGCAACGCTCGCTATCACTGCCAGCCAACCACCTTGACCCGAATGCACCGTACTCGTGGTGGTTGGGACGAGACACACGTGGCACGGCCACCTTGCTCTCTGGAACTGCAGAGTTATGAAATCTCCCTTTGGGGTCGAAGTGACACGCTGGGCCTGTCGGTTGTTGGGGGTTCCCCCAGGGCCCCTTACCTCTAAACATCACCGAACCCACATCCCACAAACCCCAAGCGAAGTGCGGTGCGGTGTCATGTGGGATAGGCAATCGTGGAAAAGATGGAGATGGCCGGCAGCCCATAGACTGTGAACTTCAACTGTCTTAGCAGTACCTCTGATTCGGGTTTAGGTCTCGTTTAGATGTTAGGGTACCCGAAAGCCCGAAGCCCTAAATCGCAAATCCTCCACTTTCCAAGCAGGAGTGTCGTCTCTGTTGTGTGTGTGTGTGTGTGTGCGTGTTGCAGTTTCAGTTTGTGAGCAGCTTGTGACATGGCACTTAAGGTGCCGACCCCAGCGGTTCCGTTTACACCGCAGGAACTTTATCCCCTAACCCCTCAGCCCTAAACCCTAAGAGCCTAAGCCCTAAGCCCTAAACCCTAAACCCTGAACCCTGAACCCTAAACCCTAAACCCTAAACCCTAAGCCCCAAAATGTTCAGACATGAGAGCTGCAGGCCCACCTTGGAAGCCAGGAGTTGGAGGCCCCCAAGCGGCCAAAGAGCCCTTGATGAGAGCGGGGGGGGGGTCGGGTCGCAGCGTGTCTTTGCGTCAGGCCCGTATCGGGGGCGAATCTACCGTGATCATCACCCTAAACCCGAAACCCGAAACCCAAACCCCAAACCCTAAACCCTAAACCCCAAACCCCTAAACCCCAAGCCCTAAACCCTAAACCCTAAACCCTAAACCCTATATCGCGGCACTCTGGCAGGCGGAAAGCCCGGCTTCGACCAGCGCAGGTCGCATCGGTGGTAGGGCATGCTCCAAGGATGAAAAAAAAGTCTCCTTTATAATCCTAGGTTTAGGGTTTAGGGTTTAGGGTTTAGGGTTTAGGATTTAGGGTTTAGGGAAGGGGGACCCTTAAAAGGGAACCCTTCTGAACTTTCTTCTGGCTCTCTTAAACAAAGAACCTTCTTCAGAGGGTCTATATCCCCAAGGGTCCCCCTAATCCTATCCCCTTTATAAGACGGATGGATCTTGGAGTTGTTAGAACCCCCAAAACAGTTGAAAGAACACCAGCGGGCCCTGAACAAGAAAACATATGTGAACTATAACCTGAAACAAGCGGCTGCGGACCCGAAACATGACACATACACACACATATGCACAATGAACATGAAACTACAATTAACCTAACCTGAAATGCACATTACATAGACCTGGAAACAAAAAGTTGGGGGTAAACAACTTAGCAGAAGCAGGCAAGCGTCTTTGAGTTGCTGTGGAACCGAAAAATTCACTCCAGATACAAGGCATGGGCTGGAATCTAGAACATAATTGTAAACGCTTGCGCGCGCCGCCTCGGCAGCCGGGCCGGCCCCAGGACGAAAGAGGGGGGTGGGGGGGGGGGGTTGGGGGGGGGGGGGGTGGGGGGGGCGGGTGGGGGGGGGGGGGGTGGGGGGGTGGGGGGGGGTGCGGGGGTTTTTGAGGCACTCCCCCTGTAGGAGCCACCGACAAGCGGGACCCTCCACGGCATCGGTTTGCAGCTCCTCCAAGGGATTGGGGGGGGTCCCACAGGGCGGGGGGGGGGGGGGGGGGGGCGTCAGAAAATTTGGTATGGGGAAGGGTTGGGTTAGGGGGAAGGAGGCCCGATCCGGGTCTGCTTGTTCCAGACGCTTCTCGGCAGGAAGCCGAGGCGAATTATCACAACTGCCAAAATCTAGTACCATAACAGGCGTTCAGGCGGACCCCCTTGGCTCCAACTGCATGTTAGTCTAGTGACGTAGTGTTTGCATTGATTTCATTGTCATGTTGACATCATGGCTCAGCTTTTGAGTGACAAGCGGTTTTGAATCCGTTTACTTCGTGTTGTTTAGAGCTTTAACCCGAAACCCTCAACCTGCCAGGCGCGCTCTTCCGGAGACTGCAGGCACGCTAAGCCAAGCGAGCCAGTCAGATCATGCTTTGGTGGCCAACTTGGGTTTAGGGTTTGGGGTTTCGGGTTTAGGGTTTAGGGTTTAAGGTTTATTAGGGTTTAAGGTTTAGGGTTGACTTACTACCTAACTTTAACAATTAGGGAATGAGGTACCGTATGCCTTATATCCCAATATAAAACCTTTCAAGAACTCTTTGAGCACCTGATTCCTTACTTCCGTACCAAGAACCAAAACGCTTGGGGGTCTGGTAGGGGTGGCCAACTTGGCGCTCCACAGACAGGTCCCGCCCGAGTTTGAAGGGGCGCAGAGGAGGGTCATCCAGGCAAGTGCGGCCCTTGTGCATCGCAAGTGCCGCATTTCATCTAATCACGTACTTTTTGTGGGCTTGTATTATGGTAAACTATTCCTGGTAGTGTTGGGTCCCTGTTTTGGGTCCATAATTTAGATCAGCAATCCTTTTGCATAGCTGGGTAAGGTTCGTGAGCCAGCGCGCCAGTCAGTGTCCAGTCGTCTGAAGGCGGTGAGTGGTGACTACTCGCCATCGTCTGCCAAGGCTCTCGTGCCCCCTCTGGAATCCCATAATGTTGCTCATAGTTCTTGGTACCGTAAAGGGCGCAGAAATTCTGTTGAAACCAGCTTCAGGGTGTTGCTGAGTGAAGGAACGCTAAGCCGTAAACCCTAAACCCTAAGCCCTAAACCCCAAACCCTAAGTACTCCCAGCCTTGTGTGGCCGTGCAGGAGCAGCAAGAGCAGCGGCGATGCCTGAAGGTGGGGTTTAGGGTTTAGGGTTTAGGATTTAGGTTTAGGGTTTAGGGTTTAGGGTTTAGGGTTTGGGGTTCCTTGTTTGTTCTTGTAGTTTGCCACGGAGGAAACGAGACGTAACATTTAGCATGATCGGCAAGCCACGCCAGAGCCTGCACTCACACTCAACACCTTGCGCAGCCCCTTGCCGCATGCCATGCACTCAGAGGATGCCAGAAACACCAAAGACAAGCCAACTCCCCCGGAAAATCAGTAGGCGAGCTGAGCTTCCATGAGGGAACATGTCAGGTAACCATGGCCTCCTGTAGCGGCAGCGAATTTGGGAATATAAAACCTCGAATTTGTTGTACCAAGGTGTAGGTGAACTTGTCAGCAGAAGGACGCAGGCGAACAGTCGCAGTTGGCCACCCTCTTGTCCTTCACGGGTGGCGTTTTCAGTTTTCGCGTTTTTGATGCGTTTTGTTGTTTTCTTTCGCTCTGGGGCAGCATCCGCACAAGCTGGTACGGTGGCAGGGGGGTAATTAAAAGCTGCTCTCGGGAAGAGCCCACTTGCCTTCAAAGCTTCCCCAAACTGAACCCTATACCCTGGGCACATATCAGCCTCGGTCCAGCAGACTCGAACGCAGGGTTTAGAGTGTATAGGGTTTAGGGTTTAGGGGTTTAGGGGTTTAGGGTTAGGGGTTAGGGGCCCAGATACTTGACGCGCAACCTTTGCTTCAGGTCTGCGTGCAAACCTTCACCCGGGCCTTGCTCCAAGGCATCAACGTTTGTGCCAGCGGCCTCAGCTGAGCTGCATTCTCGTGCTGAAATCGTTTTTGTGGCAGCAGGAGGCTGGAGGAAGGTGTGTAGAAAACCCTAAACCCTAAACCCTAAACCCTAAACCCCAAACCCAAGTGTGCCTTTCCGACCTGAGGTGCTTCTGGATGATAATCGAACCCGGCTGGCGGAAGTTGGCCCTCAGCTGCTGGTAGCAACCACTATTGGGTTTAGGGTTTAGGGTTTAGACTGCCATGCGGTCCCGAGGCCCGCCTGGATTCGGACATCACCCACCTCGTGCTGCACGTGCCGCATGCGCAGCATCCGGTGGCCCTGAAGTGCGCGGCTCAGAAGGGGGTTTAGGGTTTAGGGTTTAGGGTTTAGGGTTTAGGGTTTAGGGTTTAGGGTGCCATGGGGTTTGCTGTCCATGGCAGTGTTTTTCCGGTTCTCTGCAGGTATATCGACAGCATTTGCCCTCCAACTGCAACTTGGCCCACGCCGAGCTTTGGAGAGGCAGACGAACTCCCTCTGGTCGACCTCAAAGCAAGGTTGCAGGTTCTCGGGTTTCAGGGTTTCAGGGTTAGGTTTCAGGGGCGTTTAGGGTTTTCAGGGTGTCTACGGCTTTGAGGAACCCTACTATAAACCCTAAACCCAAAACCCTAAACCCTAAACCCTAAACCCTCAACCCAAAATTACAGGGCTCTGAAGGGTTTTTAAGGGGGCCCCTTCGCGCCAGGATGGATGCCTGCAGTCGCGGGCCACTCTCACGATGAGGGGCGGGCCAGGGGCCTCAGGTCACAAGGATGCCTTGAACCCCAAACCCTAACAGGGTTTAGGGTTTAGGGTTTAGGGTTTAGGGTTTAGGGTTTAGGGTTTAGGGTTTAGGGACACTCAGGTTGAAACCTAGCACACGTAGGTTGAAGTTCGGTTGAAGGCTCAGGGTTTTAGAGGTCACATAGGTTGAGGGTTTTAGAGGTTGCAGGGCAGGGGTTGAAGGCTTTAAGGGTTTTCGAGGTCACGTAGGTTGACGGCTTCAAGGGTTGTAGAGGTCACGTAGGTTTGCAGGCTCCGGGCTTTAGAGGTCACATAGGTTGATTGAAGGCGTAAGGGTTTTAGAGGTTTCTTCGGGCATAGGGATGTTTAGGGATTAGGGTTTTCGGGCTTTAGGATTTAGACTTTTAGGGTTTAGGGATGTTTAGGGATGGGTGCCCTAAAGCCTACACGGCTAAACGAGTATTTTGGGGGCATCTCTTGCAGTCGCTCTGGTGGGAGAGTCATGCTTTGCTTCCCTGAACGGCGGAGACTGAAGCGCAACTAGTACCGGTATTTTGGACCCCGTACTTGGAGGTTCCTCTAAACTGGGGTCCTTTTTTTTTTTTTTTGGGGGGGGGGGGGGGGGGGGGGGGGGGACGTGCCTTCTTAAACATTTTAAGAGATCCGATCATGAAGGTACCTTGAAGGGGACCGCTAAGTTGGAACAGTCCCCCACTTGCTTGCTGCTCAGGCAGTTTCTGACCTTTGTCTTCGACAGCCCCACTGTTCCCTGGACTGGAGTCAGTTTTGTTTTCGTGAAGAGGGTTTAGGCTTTGTGTAAGGGGTTTAAGGGTTATAGAGTTATAGAGAATGTTTAGGGTATTGGGTTTATAGTGTTCAAGGGGTTTAGGACGTTTGTTTTCGATCTCTTGTGTTGCAGACTTGCCAAAATAAGGTCAGAGAATACTTTGAGATGTGCCTCAAGGCCAGGGAGGAAGCCAAGCAGGGTTTAGGGTTTAGGGTTTAGGGTTTCGGGTTTAGGGTTTAGGGAGGAAGCCAACAATGCGAGTCTTGCCGGTCCATCGCCATGCGGAGGAGTTAAGTTTCTGCCCTCCTCAAATTTCAGGAGCACTTGTGTCCAGTGAGCTTTTGAGCGGTTCATAGCAATTTTTTGGGGCACCTTTTATCGTATACTATTTTTGCATATCGGTTAAAAAGTTAAGATCCGACAGGAGCCACAACAATAGATTCCCTACAGGAGGGCACCCATTTGTAGAGGTGCGACGAGGTACCTCTAAGAGGGATCATCATATACAGAATCCTGAACCCTACAACCCCCCAAAACCCCAAACATCCCCTAAACCCTAAACCCATGTTGCATGTTCAGCACGCATGCAGGTCCTCATTATCGCCAAAGGCGGAGAAAGGCCTGCTGAGGCCAGCGTCTGAAATTGAAACGGCATAGGGTTCCGGAGTATGGTTTATAGGGTCTAGAGTTTAGGGCTGTTCTGTCATGGTTCAGAGTTTAGGGCTTGCAGGGTTCAGGGTTGAGGGTTCAGGATTTGGGGTTTAGGGCTGGTTCATTGATTTTGGGGTTCACAGGGATCCAGGCATGGTCTTTTGGAGCTCTGGGCGGACTGGAATCTGAGGAGGTCGGAGCCATGGGCCTTTGAGCCAGACTCCTACGGGCTACCAGGGCCCCGGAAAAAGGGGATATTGTGTGTGTGTGTGTGTTTACCCCAAATGCATTTTTAGGCCCGGGGCCTTGGCGGATGTGAAACTTGTGTATATGAATCCCCAGGGAGTCTTCATATATTCTTGATTTCCTTCAGAAGAGGAAGCCTTAGGGATACTCGGAAATGATTTTTGATTTTTTGGCTACTTTCATTCCTAAGAAACAGCAGAAGATTTGAATTTTGCTAGGGTTCCAAGTTCAGTACAGCAGAAAGTGAGCTTGAGGCTGGTATAGATGCAGCAGGCCAAGACATGCCAATACGCGCCGCAGGATGCAGACAGCGGTGAAATTCTGGGCGCTTCGCTCGACAGGGACAAGGTGGGCTGTGCGTCGTGTGAAGCAACCTCGCGCTTGTCATGCGCACTCCATGCTGTCTGCATTGCCGGTTTAGTGGCTTAGCTTCTCCAGTATCCTTGCTGCACGAGGTGGAAATCTCCTCTTGCTGAAGCTGTGCTTGCTCAAATCAGGCGGTCGAAAAAGGAATGCCCCGGCCGCTATAGCTAGGCTCGAAGAATTCCCCCCACCCAAAAAAATGGAAGAACAAAAGCCAAGCCTTTCTAAGGAGTCGAGTTCAGATCACTTGGATCGATACATTGACATGTCTGACATGTTCAGGTACCTGTGAGGTTAAATGCTGGATTCTTGGCATGGCCTCTCACACACTGGATGTAAAGATATGAAGTATTCCATCTTCGGAAGATAGCTTGGAGCACATACCCAGTCCCTCGACAAACCCTGACGCAACCCATACTAGAACCCTGAACCCTGAACCCTAACCCTAAACCCTAAACCCTATACCCCAACCACCCCACCTTCGACCCAGCGCCGGGAAACGCGCCCACATGTGTCTGCATGGCAGTTCCTCAATTCCAAAGCCTGATTCTTGCTCAGAGGGTTCTCGCATGCATACGTAGTGCGTGGGCATGCGTCCTCAGTTCAACCCTGAGTTTTGCACAGGCACCATCCTGCACCTATTCGTACTTTTTTGTTGTGCCCTACAGCCCCTAGATGCTTGGCAGAGTGCCTAATGCCTTTTGGTATGTAGAAGGCTGTAGCCGGTAGCCATCCTCCGCCATGCGAGCTTTAGCTCTGCGAGCGTAAAGATGGGTCTTGAACGACGGCGCCTGGCTGTTGGGGTCTTGATCTTGGCTTCTGCTGGCCTTACCTTTACTGGCCTGGCCGTGGACCGCGAAAACTCTCTGAAGGTCACTGTCAGGAACCCACCTCCGAAGTCAGCGCGTGGTGCTGGCTTCAGCCCAATGCCGATGCCCGCAAATCTGACTCTCAGAGAGAAGGTCGAGTTCCGATTATGGACGGCCTGGCATGCCATGGGAAACCCGCGGCCCCGATCCAAGGAGGTGAAGGAATGCATCGCTTTCTTCCGTGCGTGCCAGCGTCAGCTGGGGCACAAGAAGCTTCTCGTGGATGCTGCTGGAGGGCATGGTGGCATCGCCTGCGTTTTCCGCGCATTCGGAAGAGCTGATCGAGCCAGCGGGGGTAAATCAGCAAGTGTTCCATGTTGCTTCTCAGCTTAGCATCTCGATACCGCGTAGCTTCTTAAACCTCTTGGAAAAAAGGCCTGTTTTCCGTCAACTTGAGATGAGGCCATCGTCGTGGATCTGTACCAGCCGACGAGCTTTGAGAACTTGCGTTCAGCATGGGCTGGGCCCGATGTTGCCCCGGATGCTTCGGTGAAGTACCACATTGCCGACGTTTCGAGTACCGGCTGGTTGGCATCTCTCCTGGACGCGGAAGCAAGGGACCTCGAGCCAAGTGAGGTGGGTCTGGTTTCCTGCCACGCATGTAGCTTGTTGTCGGACGAGCTAATTCGCGAATGCACCCAAAGTAAGGTGGATTTCGCTCTTATGCCATGCTGCCATGGTGAAGATAGTCGCAAAGGCAGGATGATGTTGAACACCGCGAAGATGCTCGGGATATCGCACGAGATGCTCATTGATATATCCCGCCTTGGGGTGATTGAAGCAAGCCCTGGGTATAAGGGAGGCATGAGGAGCATTGATTCCAGCATCAGCCCACAGAATCGGATACTTCTAGGCCTGCGGGAGTCAGAAGCAGATGCCGAGAAGCGCGAGCAAGCGCGCTTGGCATCGCTACACCGCTTAGCCAGGAAGTACCGCCACATCGGCGTCCCTCTCGGAAAAAACAAGAGATACATCGAGCTTTGCAGTGCTGAGTGCCCAGAAGCTCTCCAGTTCTCCAAACCTAAGCCCAGCCTGCAAGGGGCCGTGACTTGCTGTTGGCTTGCAGCCATTCGCCATGTGATGGAACTAGAAGGATGCCCCGCCCCATCACGTGCGCTGCCATGCGTGTAGCGCAGAACTTGAGGTGCCAAAAGCTGGGTCGATCACTCACTTTGCCTGAGCTGTGCTCTGTGTCTCTGAAAGGTGGCAGCAGAGACGGGTATGGCGGTAGATGCCGCTTTCAATGTGGCCCAGCCGCAAGAATGCTGTGAAAACTGGAGCCCTGTGAGTTTGCATCTGTGCTAGTGCATCGGAGAGTGCATGCCCGACCGTAACCTCGCGACTGCCGATATTCGCCCAGCAGACATTCCACATGTCAAGACTTTAAGGCATCGCCAACATCAGATTCTGGGGAGGAGCCTAGAGAACCTCTTGTCTGCCAATGTTCCACGGCACACTGACCTGCTTGGCCTGTGCACTGCAGTATAGTGATGGGTTTCGGGGTTCGGTTTGGGAATTTGTTAACCCACCAAGAGTTCCTGGGAGAGTCCATCCCAGTGAACCCGAAACCCTAAACCCAAAACAAATGTAGCTTTTCCTTGCTCCCGCAGGAGGACCCGCCTGATGATGAGCACGAGCACAAGCGGCCAACAGCGTCCGGGGCCTCGTAAGATTGCATAGCGGTTAAAGGGCTTAGAGTTTCGAGTCCCGGTGAAATAAGGGTTTATAGGGCTTTAAGGGGTTCTAAGGGTATACGGATCCTCGCTTACAGGCCGGATGGTGCCGCGTACACGCAGCCACACAGAGCAGCGGCCGCCTCATTGCTTGCCTGTGTGTGCCCTGTTCTCTTAGTTCAGTGCTTTCCAGTGAGCCGCAGCTTCTTCACACTTGAGGTTGATCCTGCCTGGTAGCGTCCTCATGCTTCTCTTTGTGGCCAAGCAGCAAGAGTGAGCTTGCAGTTCGCCTGCGCAAGGAGCTGGGCAGAGTACTTTCTGGTGCCTCCTTTTGAGGCGGCGCCACATGCGAGCAGCGAAGCAAAAGATAGAGAGCTGGCAGTAGCAGCGTTGTGCTGCCTCGAGCCACCTTTGCACAGTTTGGGGCAAGCTGCGCGGACGTCAAAGAGCCGTTCTGCGTCTGGGCCCCGATTCTGGCAGTGTGGCAAGATGTGGCAAGCGTGTGCCCGTAATATCCTGTAATCTACCCCGTAAACAAGGACCACGTGCAATATGCAAGGGGGCTATTTTATGCTGCATGCCGTTCGCGGACAAAGCACTAAGGTGTTGCCTTCGCGGGCGCCGACAAACGGTCCGAGAGCTGAGTTGCAGCTTCCACGGCGCGAGAAGCACGGGTGGGAGTACATCTTCACCTCGTGCATTGTGAGGTTCTGCGGCAGCAGCCTGGGTGGTGCCTTAGTTCAAGTCACTCAATCAAGCCTTTAAGTCTTTCTGCAAACTCTTACATTCTGCTTATAGAGGATGAGTATATTACAGGCTTATTCGATGATTACTTCTTACATACGTGACTTGACGCTCGAAAGGCGCCGCTGCCAGCGGTGGCCTTGGAAGGCCTTCTCTAACAGCGGAGTGCATAGAGGATAGTGCGCTGAAAGTTGCGCAGGGCCGGCAGACCTGCCAAAGTCTGAAGCCATTGCCGGGCACCCAGTCCATCAGAACGTGGGAAGCGTTCGCAGAGCCCATGCGTTTTCTATGGTTTTTCACTGAGGCAATCTTGCCGCTCAAGAGACCGAGAAGGCTGGAGACGGTGCAGGAATTTGCATATCCATCCCTAAACCCTAAACCCTAAACCCTAAACCCTAAACCCTAATACCTTTGCTGGACATGTTCAGCAAGCAGGGCGACTCCGACCGAAGAGAGTTCTGCCCCCACTCAGGCTGAGGCCTCTGCAGCTGATGGGTGTGCATATTTAGACCGCTCTACCGGTACGCAGTTTTTTTGCTACACATTGTGTCGACATGGTCGGTTGACTGGATGGCTCGCGGGCAATGTGCGAATCAAGCTGCACTTACAATTTGCAATGCATTTCGGGTGTAGAGATTTTTGTCCGCCCTCTTCGGGCAAGCTTCAGGAACAAGCATCGTACAACGCCGCGTGCGCGTTTCATAGGGTTTGTCGACTCGGAACAATGGCTTCCGCGTGGCTGCCGTGGCTCCTGCTCCTTGTCGGTGGGTCCCTGACCTTTGTGGGCAACTGGAGGACCACAAGCAGACCAACAATCTGCCGAACCACCCAGAGGGCATCCGGACTGCAGCTCTCCCCTCCGTCTGTACCGGCAGATGTGCGCTGGGACCTGTGGCCAGCCCTGCCAATCGCACCTAGTCTGCAATCGGATAAACGAGGACGTAAAGTAGAAGTGCTGAGTCTCTGCAGTAGGCCCTCGATAAGCCTCTCTGTGCAGCACAGCCTGCTCAACGAACGAAGCCACCTCGTGAGCTCCCTCAACTCAGCCACAGCGCACCAGCCCTGCAATAAGGCGCCTTACGAGCGGCGGCGCACCTTCTTGGTAGAGTACATTCCTGGAGAGCTCTGGGGCTTGGAACAGAAACTCGGCTTGCTCTACGTGCATGTACCCATTCGGATGACTGTCCTCCGTCTCGAGTCTGGCGGTCTCTTGATCTATGGGGCGGTGGCTCCCACTGACGAGTGCCTGTCCCTTGTCCGTGAGCTCGAGTCTAAGTATGGAGCTGTCCGTTTCTTGGTTCTCCCGACAGTGGCCGTGGAGCACAAGACCTTCGCAGGGCCCCTGGCACAGCGGCTACCCGATGCCGAGGCAGAGTTTCTTCATTGACCAGAGGGGGTGTGGCCAGCAAGGGGCGCTTTGAAAGGACTTACAAGCAGCATGAAAATGATTCACTATCATTATCACTATCATTCCTATGATTTTTTTTTTTTTATTATGACGATCATTATTATTGCTATCAAGGGGCGCTTGGAAAGAACTAAAAAGCAGTATCAATGTAGTACTGTACTGCATTTGTAGTCTTGTTATTATTGCATTATTGTTTGTTGACATCATAAAGGAGTATTTAAACCTTGCTTGTGCCCGCCTTGCGTATCCGACGGCATTTCTGGGACTTGGCAACTGGGAGCTGCATGGATGTTAAGGAGCTCTGTGGGTTTGGATATGGGGAGCTCTCCAATCTATTATTTCTCGTTTCGGGACTTTGGGATACCCCAAATACAAGGCTACAACGTGCCATCTTATGAGACTTATGAGAGTCCCCCCCCACCCACCGCCCCACTCCATCCCCTAACCGAGGGAACTCTCTCCCCCCGACCGTTTGCATCGTGAGCCGCAGGTCTGGGTCGCCCCTGGCCAGTATTCGGTTCCTTTTCCTTTGCCTTTGTCCTTCTTGGGCTTCCCCTTGTTCCGGAGCGTCAAAGAGCTGCCATCAGACAGCCGAGAGGCGAAGTTGCCATGGGCTGATGAACTGGAGCATATTGTCTTTGGCCCGGTGGGCAAAGATCCCAAGACCGGCGCCTTCTGCGAGGTGGCCTTCTATGTCCCAAGACTCCGAGTCTTGCTTCTCACGGACCTCCTGATTTCGATCCCCCGAAACCCCCCGATGGTGCTGCGGGAGGATCCGAGGCCTCTGCTCTTCCACGCGCGGGACGGCCCCCTGAAGCCAGTGGAGGCGGATGAGAGGGCGCTGCAAAGAGGATGGCAGCGCATCGTGATCTTCTCCCTCTTCTTCCAATCCGGTGCAATCGATGTTCAGTCCATCGAGGAGGCCTTCCGTGACGCGAAGAAGTCAGAGGCGCCTGAGCTCGGATGGGCTGGCCTCCTTCCCTGGAACTACCGGGACGACTGGCAGCAGGCATTCGAAGCCGTAAGTGGTGGAGTGCTGGTCCCTCCCATCTTACAAGCCCTCGTGCTGAATCGGGGCGAGCGCGACACGAAGCAGCTACGGGAGTTCGTCGAGAAAGTCGCTGAAAGGTGGCCCTTCGAGCGCATGCTCTCACTCCACTTCGATGGGCTCACGCCCTGTTCTCCCGGAGACTGGACCTCGGCCTTCCGGCGATTCCTCGACGACCCCAGCCTCCCCTTCGGCACCTTGGGCCCTAGGCCGCGCGAGGTGGACCTGGCATTTCTCAAGGACTTCGGTGAGACGCTCCAGTCCAGCGGAATCATCAACCCTTTGTCAGAGAAGCGCCAGACCTTCCTCTGAGCCGACGGCTTCGCACATCTCGAAAGCGATGGAAGCGAGATCGGTTCATTGCTGCTTGCAGAGAGGCGCTGGTGGATGCCCTGACCACGGTTCAAGAGGATTTTCGGAGGAGCTCAGATCGCTTGGCGGAACATGAGCCTCCCCTGTCTTACCCCGACCTGCTTCTGTAGGCAGTGGCGTTGTTTAGGGTAATTGCAGGTTTTGGGATTTGGGGCCCATAGGCCAGATAAGGTTGTTGAGGCCATGCAGCTTTGTTTCACGGAGGTTGAGATTTTCAGTCCTAGTGCCAGCAGAACATGATATGACCCTCACAGCTCCCAGTCGCTGAAGCGGGCTTGCTTTCTTGTTTTGCCGTCGTGCAGCTCCTTGCAAGGCAGATGCTGCGCAACAGGCCTCATCCCATCATGCATAGCGCTTACTTTCCTGTGTCTCTTCATCCTGCTGTCCAGGCTTCAGCCCCACCTCGGCCAAAGCAGGCACCCACATGCATCAGAAACTTACTGGGTAGGACCTGGGATATTTCATATTGTCCCTTATTGGGCTTAAGAGGATCATATTCAAGAACGTCCTAGCTTAGCGTCCTCGAAAGCAAGGGCGCTTCTGTTGATCCGTTGCTGCAGAGGCGGAGTGTCCGGGTCCGGGAAACCAACGGACGCTGAAGTTCTACCCGCCTCGGCCCCGGAGAGGGTTCAGGGTTTAGGGTTTAGTACTCGTGGCCTTCTGTGAATCTCTGATACTACGAGCGGCACACCCAGCAGCGACAGCGTTTAAGCGGTGCAATGCGAATGTCACGGCAGATTCTCACTGATTTCCAGCATATTCCAATGTGCCCAAACATCTCGTAACTTTGACCCCTTTTTTGGTTACATGGCCCTGTGGAAAGGGCATCCTAGTATGGGGGATCTCCAGAGTATTCCAAATGCACTTCACTACAACCACACACTCCAATGGCACTCGTCTAAGTGTCGATGGAGTAGACCCAGAAGTGATGGTTGCTTGTAGCCCGTTTTGGGGACACCGCGACCAAATCGCCTCAGACCGCGCCTGGGCGACATGGGATGCCCAACGCTTTTACCAACACATGGAAGACTCAAGACTCTCAGGAGCCCGCTCCTTTTCCTATGGCCTTCAACCCCGTTTTGCCCAAAACCTGACGAAGACGACATCGTTCGATTCCGAGATTACGTAGTACAACAAGAGAGAGCAGAGTGAGACACGTCGAAAAGACAACGGCTCTGCGGAAATTTGCGACCGTGCGCCCCTGCCCAGGCTCTAGCAGTATGCGTGGAAGGTTTAAACACCCCCGTGCCTCCCCACACGGCGAGGTGGGAGGATGTAGCATATATAAAGTTGGCCTCAAGCACTTCGGAGCATGGCGCTGCCACTTCTGGGATGGCCGTTGCTTAGAGGCTACTTAGGTTATATAGGGACTACATAAGGCATTTTCTTAAGGGTTTTATGGGTGGTTTGTCAAAAGTATGATCCCTTTTGGGGTACCCTAAAATATTCGGTGCCGTATTATAAGAGGGATCCACAAAGGGGCCACAACTTTGACAGCCACCCATATAGGAGAATCAGATTAAGGGTCCGGGTTTGGGTTTTTTTTTGGGGGTTTCCTGCTTGGGTGTAGAGCATGGAGCTGAGGCAGCCTACCGATGATCGCTCGGCGAGCTCGGCCTGGGCCCCCAAACAAGGTTTAGGGTTTAGGGTTTAGGGTTTGGGGTTGAGGGTTTAGGGTTTAGGGTTTAGGGTTCCATCATGATTTATGATCATTATGGAATAAGGTACCCCCCAAAACCCCGTTTGGCATGGTTTTTGAAAGGTTCTCTTGGGCACCAAGTTCCATGGTGGCTCGTGCTGTACGTGCCTCAATACCCTCCCCCAAAACCCCTAAATTCCAAACCCCAGAATACCGAAACCCTAAGCCCCAAACCCCAATCCCGAAACCCTAAAACGCTGGACCCCCTGAGTTTCTTTGCCTGTTCGCTTCAGTGCGCAGAGCCTCGAGGTCGATGTCATCGAGCACGGCTTTGAAGTGGGACCTCGCTGTTTTGCTCGGGTTTGGTGTAGGGTTTCGATTCTATGGTCGTCCATACCCCTGAAGACTAGTGAGGGCGCCTGAAGGGGCTTTTCAGCGTTAGGGCTTCGAACGTAGCCCTTCCCGTTTTAGGGCCAGGGCTTCTGCTCTCCTTTTTACGGGTGTCCTTTATGGATTAGCTGTAGAGGTTGGGATGTTCCCCCTTTGTACTAACAGTCCTTAGTAGGGATTATACTAGGAGATGCTATGATCCCTATGAAGGACTCTGAGCAGAAGGGGGAACATCCCAACCCTAAACTCTAAGCCCTAAACCCTACATCCTAAGCCTCATAAACCCAAACCCTAAACCCTAAACCCTAAACCCTAAACCCTAAACCCTAAACCCTAAACCCTAAACCCTAAACCCTAAACCCTAAACCCTAAACCCCCAATGTTCGGGGGCGGAGGCTTGTAGGGGTTCGGGGAGGCTCGCTGAAGTCTCGAGGTACTGATCGTTCGACGGGCGCCGTCACCAACCCCAAGGCCAGGTTTGGGGTTTAGGGTTTAGAGTTTGGGGGGTTTAGGGTTTAGGGTTTAGGGTTTAGGGTTTAGGGTTTAGGGTTTAGGGTGTGCGCCTTTAGGGTTTGGGGTTTAGGGTTTGGGGGGTTTAGGGCTTAGGGTTTGGGGGGTTTAGATGTTTAGGGTTGAGGTTTGCGGCACATGCCTCTACAGCGAGACCCGTCTGCAGGTGTCCATCCGATGTTCTTCGGCCTGTCATAGAACATCTAGGACCAGGGCTTCTGTCTCCGTACTGCTCGTATGCCTGCATGCTATCATGCCACCCTAAACCCTAAACCCTAAACCCTAAACCCTAAACCCTAATCCCTATCGCTGCAAGGAGACAACCATGATGCGGCTGCCGCTCCACAGTGTGCTAGCAGAGGCCTCTCCTTGGGCATGGCGGTGCGAATCAAAAGCGTTAGCTCTCAGCAACTTGGACCTCTGCCTATTTCATGAACCCTAAACCCTAAACCCAAAACCCTAAACCCTAAACCCCGCTTGTGTGTGGAGTCTGAAACATCCCTGTGTGGAATCCTGCGCTGCCTTGGCTACATCCCTTGGCCCAGGGCTGGAGGCTGGGAGAGTGCCTGCTTCCGGGGAGCCCTTTGACACTTCAATTTGATCGGGGTAATGAGAGACATTGGCAACGCGCAAAGGGCAGTTGCTTTTCCTGCACCCTGTCGGTTTCACAGCAGTTACAATTGCACACTTACATTGGAGCGGGTTCCGTGCCAGAGTGTTTCAACGAGGTTGTACTCATCCTGCTTTACATCTCCTACGGCATGCCAAAGCATGCTGTGACGGTGGTGGTGCCGAATCTGGTGCAGCACCTCAAATTCGAAAAAAAGGGCTCTGTTGATTGTTCTGCTGTGGCTGTGGCAACTGCGGTTGCTCAGCGGATCTGCAAGTGTAGAACTGTGGGCAATCGCAGCGCAGGGACATGTAAGGTCTGCGGCCGCATTTCCAGCTCAAACGAGTAGCCAATCCAATAGCTGATCCCTTTGTCTACCGGCACCCAGTTACCACCGGTCATGCGCCCGGAGCAGCATGCGTGCGTGACCCTGCACACGTGAGTCTTTCCACGATGTGTTCCGCTGGACCGACAAAGCCAAAAACTCTGAGGGGGGAGCCTCGGGCCCTCCTGCCGCCCGGCATGGCCGGCATCCTAGATGGGTTTAGGGTTTTAGGGTTTAGGGTTTAGGGTTTAGGGTTTAGGGTTTAGGGCTTCAGGTAAATGACTTCAGAGCAGGTCAGAGTTCAGGCCTTGGGGAAAGATTCAAAGTACTCGTAGCTGCGATGCCTTGCATGATGCTCTGCCTCTTCTGGCTCTTTCTCTCCTACCCTATTTTTCCTGCATGTCAGGAGCAGGGAAAGCCAGGAGTGGTGGTGAAGAACACCTTTTTGGAGGCTCAGTGAGCAAGAGCTCCATCTTGATGGAAGAAGCAGAGCCGAATCACTGCTGAAGAGGTTGGAGATCACATGCCAGCTTTCTCTGACTGGTCGGAAGCCAAGCATTCTGTATGCTGTGATTTCTGAGCCCACGGGTCACCTCGGACCAGAGCGCCTCAAGACGTCAAGTCGAGGCGCCGGCAAATGTCAGAGCCAGCCCATTCCTCAGCATTCTTGGGGTTTCTGGGGACTCTAAACCCTAAACCCTAAACCCTAAACCCTAAACCCTAAACCCTAAACCCTAAACCCTAAACCCTAAACCCTAAACCCTAAACCCTAAACCCTATAGGGTTTGCAGGGGCTTCTGGGGTTTGCAAGTGTTTAAGAAACCCCAAAAGCCCTGAGTTGCAAGGTCAAGATCTACACCAGCCCAGCCGACGAGGAGAGCAGCTCAGGTTTAGGGTTTAGGGTTTAGGGTTTAGGGTTTAGGGTTTAGGGTTTAGGGTTTAGGGTTTAGGGTTTAGGGTTTAGGGTTTAGGGTTTAGGGTTTAGGGTTTAGGGTTTAGGGTTTAGGGTTTAGCCGTGATCCTGTGCATTGCGCCGGCAGTCCATAGTTGCCGACAGGAAGAAGACGAGGCAGAGGCGCCGATTACGCTTGCATTTGCAGAATTTCAGATGTGAGCCGGGCAAAGAACAGCCATCGAAGAAAGGACACTAAGCCGAAGTGCAAGTTGCTCATTCTCATTCTCATTCTCATGCTCTCTCTCTCTCTCTCTCTCTTTCCTCTCAGGCTTCATTTCGCTTGAATCTTCTCTCACTCCCATTCCACTAGCAGCCCACAGGCCGACGGTTTTGGTTTGGGATTCATCTTGCTGGCAGTTTCTGGCTACCCGGGACTTTCCTGGCTGATGCAGTACAAAGTCCTACGAAAGCAGACAAGGGATGTGTAGCAAGATTAAGCTGAGCAAGTCAGGATGAAGAAACGAAGTCTCGATCTTGAGGAAATCTGCGCGAGCCCCCCTCGAATCGCGAAAAACGACGCCTGTAAGATCTGGGAGCTACCAGAAACAGGCTTCAAACCATGTACACTCTGTTCTGCCATAGCATAAACTACCGTTGGGAGGGTTGGGTTAGCGGTGTGCAGGTGGCAGCTTGGAGCCCTGAACCCAAAACGTACAGACTCAAATTGTAAACCCTATATTATAACCTCCAAACCCAGAACTTAAATTCCTAAGCCCAGAACCCTAAACCGTAAAACCCCAAGCCCTAAACCCTAAACCCTAAACCCCTAAACCCCTAAAACCACCCAAAAAACGCCCCAAAACCCGGAGGTGCCGGAAGAGATGCCGCCCCTGCCCTTCGCCATGACACCGCCCTCGACATCATCCACACACCCTGGCCATCCTCAGTCGGCACCTTACAGCAAAAATACCATAAAATACCCATAAGCTAGGAGCGGAAGAGTGTAGTATAGTTTGGTAGGATACTTATGTCGTAGTAGAACAGTCTATGAAAAGAGTACTGAGTACGACTATGGTCATCTAAGGAATCAGAATAATGTCATAAGATATACATATTAAGAACAATAATAACGCCAAAATAAATCAGTTAAACACTAGATTATTTCAAGAGACAGTAATATGCTAGGAGGCAGGACTCCTAAACGCCCCTCGAAGCCCTTTCCCCTCGCTCCCCAAAACCCATCCTTGTGTTCCCGAGAAGCTTCTGAGGCCCGGTATGCCCGGCGCCATGCCCGGCGCCATGTCCGGTGTGCCCGGCGCGGTTCCCGGTGCGATCCCGCCTGGGGCACTGCCCGGAGCGCTGGGCCCAAGCCCAACGCCGTGCTTTGAGGCGCGGCGACATGCCGGTTCTTCGCAGTTCTTCCACCTTTGCTTGGTGTGTGTGTGTGGGTGTGTGTGCGTAGAAGGCGGTCCTGTTACCAAAGCGTTGTACTTTGTTGAGCTGCTCAGAGTTGCTTTTGGGGGACCTCGGCCTTTTCAGGCCCCTCAGCAGCCCATGATGCCACGACAGGCGCCCTCCGCAGCTTGTTGCTTTGCGCCGTGTATCTTAGGACTCTGCTTCCCGGCACACTGTGGCCTGGCAGGGGGTTCGAGAGCAAGGCAGAAGGGACATTCGAAATGGTCAAGCCTCCAGCCCAGCGTTTTAATCAACTTGCAGTTCTTTACACGCCTCGTTGCCATGTGTAAAATGAAGCAGACAAGCTTTTGCGGGCTCCGGAACGGACGTCCAGGCCATAAATCAGTTGAAAAACAACGACATCACCAGCAAGGATGCCCTTCCTGTCAGGTCGAAGTTCTTCTGCCTCTGGACTTGGCTGATTTTCGCCCATTCACTGAAAGCTATGGCCAGGAGCCTCCATGGAATGATGTCACCACCGTAATGATGAGAAACTTGCCCAACAAGCCGGGAGCTTACACGTTTGGCGTTTAGAGCCAGGGTTTCGGTTTTAGGGTTTAGGGTTTCTGCTTTCCCGCGTTTCGCCCAGGTACAGGCAGCAAATGCTCTTAGATGAGCTCGCCGATGCCGGTTTCCGTGCGCAGGCAGGAAGTGGCGGAGTCCCACCAGTGACTTGTGAGTCAGAAATTCCTTTTGCCAAGACCGATTTCGATTTCTTTTATCTTCCAATGGACCACAGCCGCTTGACACAAGATCCAGCAACCACTTTTGCACTTTGGCCGAGACTCGTGCGAAGCCGCGCGTGAGCCTTTAGCAGCTGAGGCAATGCTGCAAACTTGGGCTATTGATCCAAGCTTAGTTGAACACGGGGTTGCTGGTGTGCAGTCCTGTATGTGTCACGCAGGCACTTGCTGTGTGTTAAATTCCGTTCATCCCGTGGCCCAGGCTTCATCAATTTTACGGAACCTGCTTTAGCGAACGCATTTGCAGCAGCGTTCCAAGGCTTGCCACTCAGATGTGTCCTGCTGATGTGCCATCACTGCTATGATTCGCTGTGCGTGGATGATGGGGACGGCAACTGAGGCAAGAAGATGCGCCGTTTCAACTCGCACAAGACTGTGGTTGCCTCCTCCTCACACGTCGAACGCACCAGGGATCTTGTCCCGTTTGGCATCTTGACACGCTGGAGAGAGTCAGGTCATGCCTGCATCAATCCAGGGATACGAAAGAAACTACAAGCGCCTTCGGCTTGTGCTTGAAATGCCTTGAGCATTGAGAGACCGCGGTTCTTCGCAAGTTTGGAAAGTTTGGATTGCGCTCCATAGGTATTACTCTTCGACCCGGGTGGCGCAGGCAGAGGACAAGACCCGCTACTGTACCCGGAGCTTATAGGAAGTGTGGAACCCCAGCCCTCCATTTCGAATAAATCTTAAACCTGCAGGACCCTGCATACCGGCCTTTGTTCCTGAAGAACATGGACGACTTGCCGCAGGATGGGGCTGAACATTTCTAGGGTGCAGGGTTGCTCCCTGACTTCGGAAGTGGCTGGTACCTTGGCATGCGCGAGCTGGGAAAGCTGATGCTTTGAGGACAAGAAGGGTGCTGGCAAAGGACAGGGCCCCCTGGCCAGAGTCACCCTAAACCCTAAACCCTAAACCCTAAACCCTAAACCCTAAACCCTAAACCCTAAACCCACAATATGTTGCACGTTTTGCCTTCGCAAGCTTCCTCGAAGCTGTCGAAGGAGGCAAAGGCTTCGACAAAGCTGGCAAGGGTAGCAAGAAAGGCTCGAAGGACAAGGCGCCAGACCTTGGGGCATTGTCAGAGAAGCCGAGGTGCTTAAAACACGGGTGCCCCACAACAATACCTCAGGAATGGTGTGGTCCTTGTTGTCGAAGCCTCCGGGGTGGTCCCAAGCCCTAAACCCTAAACCCTAAACCCTAAACCCTAATTCCCAACTCCCCCTTCCCCCCCATGTGCTTCCATGACCTGCCCAGGGTGGTCCCAAAGGATCGGACGGCAAAGGGGTGGAGGCGCTGGCTTGGGCTTATAAGGTTCAGGGTTCAGGTTTTAGGGGTTGAGGGCTTAAGGACTATAAACCCCTAAACCCCAAACACCCTGAACCCTAGCGCTTACACCCCAAATGCCCTGCCCTCACCGCCGAGGAGACGCCTGCGTTTCCTTTGCCGGACGAAAGCTTGAGGGGTTTCGGGTGTCGGGTAGGAGGGTTTATTGGGATGTTTGCTGTGGGGGTTTATCTAGGGCTTGGGGTTTAGGGTACAGGGTAGGAGGGTTGTTTCGGAATGTCTGGGGTCTAGGGCCTCGGGTTGGGGGTCCAGGGATGTTTTGGGTTTGTTTTGCCACAGGGCACGAGCTGAGCAGTCTGTCGATACATCTGCAGGCTTTTTCACGCCTGGCCTTCATGGGCTTGGATGATCCAAACTCTGCGCAGGCCCCTTTGTGCGACAGTGTGACCCTTGCAGTTGTGTGCTGTGTGGGACGGACGGATGGCTGCTTGATTGTGTGATTGGGCGGCAGCGCGGTCGTCTTATACCACCCGCAGTATACTGGGTCGTACTACAAAACTTCAGAGGGGATTTGAAAAGGCATCCGAGTTGTTGGCGAGCTGGCCGCATGACACTCGCGCACAGGGAGACTGGGCGCCAATGGCAGATCAGATGCCGTGGCAGCCACAGCCCGTCATGCTAGCACCTGAGAGATCTGCAGTCGCTCTAAAAATTTGATAAACCGAGGTAAGTGCTCGAATAATTTGCGATGCATTGCTCAGGCAGGCTCCATACCCTGGAGGGTGCGGCGGCGGGCGTAGCGGCAACATGGTTGCCTGCCCTGAGCTCAGTAGTGGAGCAGGAGCAGCACGCAGCGTTGCCTCTGCCAAACAAGCTGGATGTTGCCACCTGATGCCAGAGGCTTTGAATACAGCGTATATGCTGTTGTAATTTTAACGCTACGCGACCCGCCTCGGCCCGGCCCAGCGCATCCGCGTGAACATGGTGATTCCGCAGCGCCCAAGTCGCTGGACCCAAGCAATAAGGGTTGGGTTTAGGGTTTAGGGTTCCGGGTTTATGGTTTATGGTTTGGGGTTTAGGGTTGAGTTAGTTTAGGATTGAGGGCTTAGGGCTCAAGGTTCATGCTTTGGGGTTTAAGGTTTTTTTGGGTTTAGGGTTCAAGAGACGGTTCGGCTTGGATTGATCGTAGGGCTCAGGGGGGGGTAGGGGTGGGGGGGGAAGGGGCAGAGGGGAGGGGGGGGGGGGCTAAGATTCAAAACTTCGGGTTTTGGTTCGTTAGGGAAAACCGGGAAGCGAGGGGGGGGGGGTGGTCCTAGGTAGGATAAGGTGGACCCTTCAAAGGGTACCTGTTCTGAACAAAGGGTCGCCAGGGGGGGGGTGGGGTGGGGGGGGGAGGGTGTGGGGGGGGGGAGGGGGGGTGGGGGGGGGGTGGGGGGGGGTGGGGGTGGGGGTGGGGGGTTGGGGGGGGGGGGTGGTGGGGGGGGGGTGGTTGGGGGGGGTGGTTGGGGGGGGGTGGGAAAAGGGTGGGGGCCTGCTGGGAGGTGCTTCAACGGTGCGAACCGTCCGGTTGCGAAGAGGCAAAAAAAGGGTCCGAAAAGTGGCTTTGGGTGTGGGGGGAGGATTTGGAGGGGGGTGCCTGTTCTGACAACCTAAACACCTCCGGCCCGAGGCCTCGGCGGATAGAGTTGCGAGGGTTGAGTGCTTTTGGCACTTTTTGTTTCCCAGCCCGGCCCCTCTGTGCAACCACAGGAATGTTGCGAGGGGCTGAAGGGCTTGTCAGGAGGTTTTGCCACAATATGCAACGTAAGCCAGAGAGGATGTCGAGGTTCGAAAGTTAGGGGCACCTTATTGGGGTCTTTACTATAAACGGATCCTACTAATTGGGGGCTCGATGTTAAGGATCCCAGATTTTCGTAAACCCGAGTAAACCCCCCATTTGGTTTCCTGTAGGGGTTTTTAGGCAGCCTGGGCACCCTCGAACAGGACTCACAAGCACTGCCGGCCTGAGAACATGGCACTCTGCTCGAGGCCCTAAAGCCGACACGCAAAGCCCAACCCCCAAATCGCAGAAGCAAGTGTGCAGTACCTCAGCCCGAGAAGGGCCTGCGTGTTCTTTGAGGCCCTATATTGCTAGTGAAGTCCCCGCGCACACAGCAATGAGGAAAAGGCAAGTACCCGCACGAGGCATGGACAGCAAGCAAGCACAAGCAAGCCAGCAAAACACCCGCACAGACGGAGACTAAGAGGATTATCATTAGAGATAGGAGAGCCCCTCCACAGGGACAGGCTCTATGATTTTGAGCCTCTGCACTGCTACCATCCGGCCACGTAAGGGTGGCCTTTCTGGATGACCCTAAACCTTAAACCTTAAACCCTAAACCCTAAACCCTAAGCCCTAAGCCCTAAACCCTAAACCCTAAACCCTGTTTTGCGCATTTTCTTTCAATGACCACCGTGGGATCCGAAACTTTCAGTTTGAAGTCGGGGAGACCCAGGCGAGCACTGCGGCAATATGTGCAATGCCGACCATAGGCCCGCCGGCGGTTTAGGGTTTAGGGTTTAGGGTTTGGGGTTTGGGGTTTGGGGTTTTAGGGTTTAGGGTTTAGGGTTTAGGGTTTAGGGTTTAGGGTTTCCTCAGCTGCCTGGTTTCCATTTAAAGATTCAGACCTGCTTTCAGGTTTTGCTCTGCCTGCGGCCACCCAGCATGGGCCCCGGCATGCCCCGGCAGTCCCAAGAGGGTCCATCACGTCAAGCATTGGTCATACCGTCATGTCAGATCCTCGCGTTGAGGTCCGGAAGAGTGGAGGCAGGGATACTATCGGAACGAGGGACGTTGTCAGCCAGCGACATTCGTCAGTATTCGTCACAGGCTCTTCAAACACCATGCCATCAATGCCTGCGAGAGGGGGGCCGACCGCAGGACGGGGGGGACTGCCGGGTTCGTAGTGCCAGCTCCCTGGAACGGTGTTGGCTGTTGAACGATTCAGTAAGCAGGGTCTGCGAATACCGCAAGCAAATTCACCGCCAACAGCAACAATAACAAGAACAGTAACATACACCAACTATAGCAGCACCAGGAACAATAGCGAGAACAACATGCTCCGGTTTCTGGAGGAGCCCCGATGATGAACGGCATTCCCATGGCTTGTGGCCCTGTCTGGGGTTGTGGCGGCTGCGGCGGCTGCTGCGGCTGCGGCGGCTGCGGCTGCGGCGGCTGCGGCTGTGGCTGCGGCGGGGCATGCACCAAGATTTAGTTTCGGGCGTTTTTTGTGCCACGGGGTTTAGGTTCTTGACGGGCTCGGGGCAAATCGAATCTGTTTGTGTCACGGTGTGGACTTCAGGTCCCGGCGCCTGTGGTGGCTGTGGGGGTTGTGCATGCGGACCATGCGGTGGCAGCCTGAGCAGCCCGATAACGGTTGCTAAGACGGGGGCATCCCTTGATGGCAGCCAAGCATATCGACCAGGCGCGATGAATATGCGAGCAGACGCTCCCACGTTCATGCCTAACATGCAGGAGGACCCCTTGGACCTCATGAGCCACTCAAACCTGTTTCCAATGTCGTAGCTGGCACAGTGTTCGACCGGAAGGAGCGTGACAACAGCCCGAATCAAATGCCATCTGGTTCCAGCCAGGTTCCGCTTGAATTTGGGTTCTGATAAGGGAATGTCAGAAGCGGCTGCCGCATTTCCACGACTCAGCTTGTTCAAGCTCAAGAATGCCCCGCCTGTCAGCTTGCGGACCCGGTCAGCAACGAGTTGGACGTGATGCGAGGACGCCGGGAGCTTTGCTGGTGTAGCTACTCTCTTCACTCTTCTTCTGACCATTCTGATATTGCTACTCGTATTACTGTCACTGCTGCTGCACTTGCGCCGTCGCAAAAGCTCTAAAATACATCTCATGGAACGTGTATGCGACTGGAGGTCTAATGCTGATCGCTGCTCTGAAGGACCGGCAACCGAGAGGGAGCCACACACACACACACACACACACATATTCTTGTCGCGCCATAGTATCCTTGCATAGAAGACTGACAAGAACAATGTTGCCCAGTTAATTTAGGAAGCATTGCGTTTGATTAAGCAAGAGTAGTTCCACAAGTAATGCTGATGACCCAAGAATGTGTGAAGCAGGCACCCAAGGGCTGTGACATCAGGACATTGAGCAGAGGGATTCGGAAGGCACACAAGGAAAAGATGCGGCGAGCTGAGCCAAGGGTGAATGGGTTTAGGGTTCAGGGTCACCCTAAACCCTAAACCCTAAAACTCTTAAACCCTAAGCCCTTAACCCTTAAACCCTAAACCCTAAACCCTCGTTTCTGGGGCCTTTTTGAGGTAAGCCTTTGGCGGGAATTTCTGAGCAGTGACTTCGCTCTCAGGCTTGGCTCGCCTAGCTGCAGATCAGGCGAGGCGGACGATTCTCGCAGTGTTCAGGGCTTAGGTCGGTTTAGCAGCTGGGCCCCGAAGCTCCCTAAACCTATCTCAAAATGCCGTTCTGGGGTATCTATGGCATATTCCTTGTAGCTTAGGGCGACAACAAATTAAGATCAACCCATCCCGAAATATCCGTAAGCAGCCAAAACTCCCCAAACCCTAAACCTAAACCCGAAACCCCTACCTTCCTGCTGTTTGCATGGCCAGGCGGCGCTTGCCTTCGTATCGCTCAGCAGTGGTGCTCTCCTCATCCTTCTTTTTTGGGTTCAGGTTTTAGGGTATACAGGGGTTAGGGGTTCGACGATTCGGTGCGCCTCTGCAAAGGCAAGGAAACACCTTGCCAGACACTTGCTGGCGCGGATCTCGGATCTGAGTGTTCTGATGTTTGATGCTTGGCTGCGCGTGAAAAGAAAGGATGGCGTAAGCTTCTGCACCCAGGCCAACGGCAAGGCGACGCCAAAGCCGAATCCAAATTTGCATGCTCTGGCGATGCATTGAACCTCTGTACGTTACAGCGCATGCCAACTCAGCTTGGAGCACAGAGCCTCAGGCATCCAGCTGAAAGCTTTCCGACACAGGCTCGAAGCCAACAATGAAGCTCATATGCAAGTAGCAATGTAGCCTACTCCCACAAAGCAAATGACCCAGCTTCCAGTTCGTGACTCTGGCTGTTTTTAAGTTGCCGGCCGCTTTCAGCAAGCGGCGCCACAGAAGCTTGCGGATGGCGGAGCGTCCCATAGATCAACAGCTGAACGAGTTTGGTTGATAGGATTTCCGGGTGTGCGATGTTGGGTGCAGGATTCTGCAGGATACAGGTGCCAACATCAGGGTTCACAGGTTTTTGCAGCAAGTACCTCAGGGAGAGCTTCGCGGTCATCCAAGGCGGTGCGCCTTGGCGTGCGTTTACAAGCGGAGTCTAGGGTGGTTGAGAGCTTGCATCTCCGTTGCGGAGCAACAGAGCAAGCTCTCCCAGCGAGTTTCTGATCTTCGTTGCGCTTTTGTTGCCGGGATTTGCCCCGAAACTGCCAGATGTGGTCACCCCGCCTCGTCCTGAGAAAGAGAAGGCGTGTTTAGGGTTTAGGGTTTAGGGTTTGAAAGATTAAAGATTTGACCAGTTGTGCTTCCGATGATATCAACTCCGATCACAAGCTGGCAGTGCTGTTACCGTTAAAGTTGAAGACTACAGCCTTCGGTTTCTAGCTTTTCACTGGTCGGGTTGCCTGACGGCATCATAGTGTACACTGAAAGAGAGAAGAAGAGATGATGTATGGTAAACTGGTTCTAGAAGGCTTTCGACCAGCAGCCAGAGCATGCAGCGGTGATTTCTCCACGTTCTCCAAACTAATCCTAGAAGGCCTCTTGATGGAAGTGGCTTTCGAATCTGCTTCAATCAGAAGCCCTCCAGGCTGCCGCAAGATGCGGCGCTGTAACCAGGCCGGGCTACCCAAAAAAAACCTCATACCAAGACTTGAACACAGAATATAACTACGTAACTCTTATAGCAGAGTCCACGCGAAACCCACGCTTAGAATAACACTCCTGAACCCCCCCTTTGTGGTTGCCATGTGGTTCCGAGAGTTGCAGCGCAGCGCTGGAAGCCGCGCGGCTTCGACCCAAGGGCACCCAGCGGAGAAGTTTGAAGGTCTCCGTACTGGGACTTTGCAGTGCGCTGTGATACCGTGCGAGCTAGGTTTAGGGACTCAGGGACACGTGGAGTGTTTCGAGCGCTTATTGATGCTTATAGGGTCTAGCACGCAAAGTCTAGGACCGGGTAAGGAATTTCTCTTCATGGCATGAGGTGTGGTCGTTCTCAGCTCACGCGGAAGGCGTGAGAGGCGCGAATTCTACACGCGCTCATTGAGCCTAACCCAACAATTTGAAAGAGAAGCAGGTGAAGAGGTCAAAGAGTACCAGGAGCAAGGTGGCAGTTTTTTTTGCTACCGCCGGACCAATATTAGCACCGCGGTCTTGCTCCGTTGCTACGCGCGATGATCATATTGCCGTTATTGATGAAGTACTAATCATTGATAGTACTAATTACTCTTGGCAATCGTATTGTTGCCGGTATTTGTCGTTCTCATGCTGTCTTCCTATTTTGACCTAGTAAAACGCATCTTGCTATTTGCGACGACGATTGCTTTTACCTTAAAGGCCGAGTCGTGTCACGGGCGTGTGATGGCGTTTCTGCGAGCTGCAGCCCTTCGCCGGCTCGCCTGGTGCATCAAAGTTTTCGCATGTAAGCTTCAGGCATTGCTACGTCTACTTAAGGCCCATTGACGTTCGGTCTTGCGCCAGGCCCATAGTGAAGCACCGACTCGATGGTAATCTCTCTCCATGTGGCCGTGCATTCTAGCCAGCCAGATGCACACAATCAGTCTCGAGCGGAATGTTGCACATCCTGAAGCCAAAGAAGGAGTATCCGCAGCATCTGCACCAGGGTTCTCTTGCTTCGGGCTACGAAGCTGAACTGTAGGTGCCGGACGCTGCTCTAGCGCGTTCTCAATAGGGAAGCAGGGAATTAGCGGACATCCCCTCTGTAGGCACCGTTCAGGGTACCTAGCTCCCAAATTCCGAGTTCCCCGGCCCTAAACCTTAAACCTAAATCCTAAACCCTGAACCCTAAACCCTAAACCCCAAACCGCCCAACTCAGTTGGCTCAAGTTGACTCTGTCCGGGCTGCGCGCGATGCCGCCTTCCGGCCCTCGTGTCCCGCCCGGGGCTGACAGCATCCCACAGCATCAGGGTTTAGGGTTTCGGGTTTCGGGTTTAGGGTTTATAGGGTTTAGGGTTTAGGGTGGTTTCAACGACAATAGGAAGAATAGCTGCATTGCTAATTGATGTATCTTCGCCACATGCTGATATTCGGATGAGAACTTGCGTTGCTATTCTAGTACTTCAGTTGCACTTGTACTGGTAGCTGTTATGTTACTATTCCATGATCGTTCTTACTTTGATGACTCTTTCTACGCATTGCCCGCTGCCTTCAGAGCATTTTTTCTGCGCGCCCAGGCCAAAAGGGTCCAGAGAACTGAGACCACCAGGATCCTCCCAGTGCACTGTGCATTGCTTAGGGTTTTACGGGATGTAGTAGTGGGGGTTTTAGGGTTTAGGGTTCAGGGTTTAAGGTTTAGGGTTTAGGGTTTAGGGCAGCCTTTCAGGGCACTTTTTCCCTTGCATCCGTTTTATGGAGCTTTGCAGGAGAGCCTCGCCCGCTGCAGCGGGTGTCGCAGGTCCAGAGGCAGGCGGATGAGGTGCGGCCGAGTGGTCACGAAAAGAACGTGTACTCTGCCAAGAGACTAGCCCACGATTGTTGGGGTTCTTCTTTCGGGTTTGCAGATTTCCACCCTAAACCCTAAACCCTAAACCCTAAACCCTAAACCCTAAACCCTAAACCCTAAACCCTATTCCCATCTCAGCAATGGTGAGCCTGTCCATTCTGTGGGGCGATCCGGAGGTGAAGAAGCTGCAGCAGCAAGCAGGAGATTTAGTGCGCAACGGTGGCATGTTTGAGCTTAACCCTAAACCCTAAATCCTAAATCCTAAACCCTAAACCTAAACCCTAAACCCTAAACCCTTGAGGGACTGTCAGAAGGCAGCGTGTCAGAAAACTTCCTGCAGATTCCTGCGCCGCCAGGCGGCAACGATTTGAGAGGCGCCATCCACATGCCCAGAACTTAACACCCGCGTGTCTTGAGCAATGTGCTCTTAACCTACTTGTTCTTTGTCGGGAATGTGGGAATTTGGCACCCGAAAACTGTCATGATATATATATATATATATATATATACATATATATATGTATTTATATATGATAGCACTAGCAGTTCATCCTTTAAAGAATCTGTATGTATATATATATATATATATCTTCATCCTGTAAAGGATGAATTGCTAGTACTGATCCGATGCTGCTTTCATGGAAGGCAAGTGCGACGTTGACCGAAGCCCGAAGCCCTAAGCCCTGAACCCCCCAAAACGCTGAACCCCAAACCTGAACCTCGGGATGCTGCCCCCTTATACTAACAGTCCTTAATAGGGGGGGGGGGGGGGGGGTAATAGGGGGGGGATGCTATCATCCCGATGCAGGGGACTGTTCGTAGAGGCGGGATCATCCCAAGCCTAAACTCCCTACAGAGAGGCCCTTGTTCGAAGGCCCCCAGGCATGAGACCTTGTTTTTTTTTTTGGGCTTTAGGGTTTAGGGTGTAGGGTTTAGGGTTAGGGTTTAGGGTTTAGGGTTAAGGGTTTAGGGTGTAGGGTTTAGGGTTTAGGGCTGAGGGTTTAGGGTTTAGGGTTTAGCTGCCTTGGTGTTCGAAACACGGCGGACGATCAACTTTGCCGGCGCGAGGTTCGAAGATTGCAAAGCAGAGATTGACGATGCTTTGGATGGCCTTCCCAAGGAGCGCTGCAGCATTCAAACCATTGCAGATGGCTGTGCTGCTGTCCCGAAGAAAGGACGACCTTTGCTACAACACTCTAGTGGAGACAAGACGGAGCGTAGAAGAGAAAATCTCAAAGTGCAAGTCCGAACCTCAGCTGGTCAATTCCAAAGGTAGTGGAGAGTGATGTTTCGGTATTTCGTATGTCGTTCAGGCAATTTCTGCCGTTCGAGTACTTCCTCACGGCACCAAACTTGCAAGCAAAGTGACGGCCGCTTGCCCGTTCCGCCTGAGGAGAGCTTGAGAGGCTGAGCCTCAGTGCTTCTTGCACGGCAGGACTGGCAACACAATAGGGAAGCTAAGGGTCAACAGTGAAGCCGCTCACAGAAAGAATGCCAGTAGGGCCATATGAAGCTCCATATCATGTGAAGAGTCTCTTCCACGCCCACACGTCTGGCGTAGATTGTGCACACGATGCAGTGCAAGGGCCATGCGGCCTTTGCTCAGGAAAATCGCGCTTGGAAGCATCGGGTAGCATGAGGTCACGTTGCTCATGGCCAAAGCGTGCCCACGACGTGCCCGTGATCCGACACCAAAGGCTCAGGAGCGGAAGGGAGGCCTAAACCCTAAACCCTAAACCCTAAACCCTGAGCATCATGGCCTCGGCTCCATGGATGCTCGACTCGCAGTTCAACCCTCGGCAGGGAGCCAGGAAGGATGGAGCGCCCGCGTCTGCGCAGCTGCTGGAGCAGTCGTAGCTGTGGAGAACTGGGGTGCAAGGGTTTAGGGTTTAGGGTTTAGGGTTTAGGGTTGAGAGTTTAGGGTTTAGGCAGCCCGACATTGGGGGGGGGGCTGCCACCCTCTGGTCTTTGCTGTTGCTCAACAGTGCAGGGGTCCCTGATGTAGCTAAGGCACAGATTGAGTCAGCAAATGGTTTCCCTGGAAGCCGAGAACGTCGAACTGCAGGACTTGAACAGGTCGCTGGACAAGGCCAACAAGGACAAGCAAGAGAGAATTCAACAACTGGAACTGGAATGCCACAAACTTCGTGACTCTGCAATCTTCGTACAGCAGGAAAAAGAGACTGCCATTCTTCAAGCGCGTGAGGCTCTGCAGGCCAAGCAAGGTGAGCTGATGCTGGCACGAAAGGCTGCAGAGGACGCGGAGCGCCAGATTGAGACCTTTGCCTCCGACAACAGACGCCTGAATGGCATCGCGGAGAAGCTTCAGTCTGAACGATCCCAGCTGCAGCGGCAAATCCTCGGTCACGAGGCCTCAATGAAGGCGTTCCACGCCGAGCTGCAGCAGCGCGCCGCAGCGGAGGGGAAGTCGCTGAACACGTGCAAGGACCTGGAGCAGCGCTTGCAGGGCCTTCGCGTGCAAAACACCCGGCTGGCAGACCTGGCAGGCGTGAGACTTCGGGGAAGGAGGATTAAGAGTTCGGTGGGCATAAATCAAGAAACCGTGCCAGCGAGCAGAAGCCTGCAAGCGCGGCGTTTAGGGCCTCGCCTGCCACGTGGATGAGGAGTTGGATTTGACACAAGTTGCAGTTCAGGATCACCTCTGCATCGATGCACTTGCTATGCCGTGATGCTTTGGGCATTTTTGACTTGGGGGAGGGGGTGGGAGGATTGCAATTGGGCGGTTTCAGCTCTGTATAGGTCTCAATTGCTCTCTCTCTCTCTCTCTCCCCTGTCTCTCTCTCTCTTTTTCTCTCCCTCTCTCCCTCTGTCTCTTGAGAAGGCTTGCACCATCTGGAGATGGCGCAGCTGACTCAGACCCGCGAAGAGCTGCGGACATGGCGCCAGCGCTGTGAAGAGCTGGCGGTGGAGCTCGAGAAGTCGCGTCGCTTGGGGGGGACCAAATGAACCTTAAAACTGGGGTCACAAAACCCTATACTACTAAGAATCTACTAAGTTACTTCTAGAACCCCTAGGTATATGAACCCATAAACCCTTTCAGGGTTCATCTGGTCCCATAGTTTGCTCCGAAGAAGGTCAGAATGGCGCCTGGCTGCGAGACCGCTTGGCCACCTCGGATGCAGCCTGCGGCCAGCTGCGGGTCGAGGCCGAGCACTGGCGCCACGCGGAGAAAGCCGCAGCGGCCAAGGGCCCCAGGTGCCAGCCGTGTCGCTTGAAGTCGCGTTACGTCGCATGTCTGTCTGGTCGTCGCTTCAAGATGAAAGATTCTTTGTAGCAGTGTTCGGAGGTGCACAGGTGTGAAAGGGCGGGGAGTTTTCGCTGAAAACAAGAAGCGAGATTCTTCCGCACTTATGCCGAAGCCTGGTGAAGCCATATGTCGGAGTCCCCCTTTGGTAGGTTGGAAGAGGCCGTGCAGCGTGAGGCGCGTCGTTTGACATTCTGATACATTCTGTACGCCGTTCGTACAACTTTTTTTTCATTGTGCATTGCCCTCTGTACTGTTGGTTAGCAGGGAATGAGGGAATTAGGGCCCTATATATACCCTTTAGGGGATTATATAGGGTGCCTCATTCCCCCCTTCCCTAGTAACCAACAGTAAGCCTCGTGTGCTCAGAGCGCTGTGGCCCAGAGCCTGCGCGAGCGGGTTGCGGACTTGGAGGTCCCGCTTCGAGAGGGCCGGGCAGGGAGACTGCTGGGTTTAGGGTTTCGGGTTTCGGGTTTAGGGTTTAGGGTTTAGGGTTTAGGGTTTAGGGTTTAGGGTTTAGGGTTCTGCTAGGATTGTTGTTGCGCAGGAGGAGGTCGTCAAGTCTCAGAGGGCCCAGATGGCTTTGGAGGCACTTTTCGTATTATTTCTATTACTCCTATTTTGTTATTATTAGTATTGTTAATTATTATTTTTGTTATTATTACTTGTATTGTTTTTTACTCATATAATTACAGCCGTGAGAACTAGATGGCGGTTCGCGTTCCGACTCTTCGGCTTGCCTGACCCCACCGTTCCTTCCCAGGCCGAGCGTGAGAACATGCGCTCGCAGCTTGCAGCCACACAGTCAGAGGCCAAAGTACATGCACGGCGCCCAGCTTCCCCACTTTGCTTAGGGCCTCTTTGTGTCCATATCTGGTCACGCAAGGCCGAAGCAGCTTCGCGGCTAGCAGGGGAGAAGTCGCAGGCCCTTCTTCTGTGTGTTGGCGCCCAAGATGTCTGCACGATCGCCCGCGAGGCTGAGCAGCTTGCGAAGCTGCATTTCGCTCATCAGCAGGAGGAGGGTCCATCCGTTTTTTTGTGCGGATTCGTGCATGTGTTTGTGTGCGGTTGTGTGTCCATGTGTCCGTGCGTCCATGCGTCCGTGCGTCCGTGCGTCCGTGCGTCCGTGCGTCCGTGTGTCTGTGTGTTTGTGTCTGTGTGTCCGTGTGTCCGTGTGTGTACACAGGTACATGAATCCTGGAAAGGCGTCACTTTCACTCGACATCTTCAACAATTTCACATATGGCAGGGGATGTGGCGGTGCTCGCCACAATCAACATCTCCCTCTTTGTTTTGCCCAGTACATCACCTTTGGGTGCCATCACGCGATACGGAATGGCGGCCAGTTACTTCTTTTCCGTCCCCTTCTCCACCACACTCTCCCTTGCTTTTGCCCATCGCCTTGGGGCGCCGTCGCTTCGCAGCTCGAGGGTGGTGGCCATTTTGCTGCGTGCAGCCAGGTGTACCTTGTCTCGCGCGTATCCTAGGGCAGAGAGCTGCCTGTGCGTCTGTGTGTTGTGAGGTCAGTGGCTGTTCCGTTTCCGCCGATATTTCAATGCAGAGAAAGTGCGTGTGCGCGTGTGCCTGTGTGCCTGTATGTGTGTGAGAGATGAGATCCAAAGCCCCAATCAAGAAGTGTTGTGTGGAGGCCGAGCGAAGGCGTGCGATCCTGGAGAACGACCACCTTCCGAAGTTGATCGCTCGACAGCAGGCGGGACAACGAGCTGGCATACGAAGTGCGCTCCTGTATTTGGAATGGTTCAGTAGTTGCCATGGAGGGTTCTGCAAACGGTGGTCAATTGGTCAATCACACAACGCCCGCGCCCTCGAACTGGACCCTGACATGGAACCTCTGTGCAACGTATCCTAAACCCACTGACCCTGAGTTCTAAATTGCATGGTTTAGCCAAGCATCGGGACCAAGGGAATACCACAACGTCAGGTAGTTCTCCCTCATCATTGCCATGCCACTTGAAACCTGAAGCTCACAGCCAATCCCAAACTTAAAACTTCTGCGGGGCAAGAGGTTTGTTTTTTTTCATGAATATCGGGCCAAACCGTCTCTTGGCCTGCGCTCGGCAGGATGAGGGGACTTGCAAAACATGAGCCCGATCACTGCTACCTCCCTTCACTAGTCTCTCAACTCTAGGCCACACGTTTGGGGATTGGCCGAAAACAACTCCCCAACCCCATCCAACCCCTAAACCCTAGAAGCGCTAAACCTTATAGAAGCCGAAAAAAGCGGAACCCAGCCCCCCATGCCAAGACAAAATCCGGACAGCCCTATCCCTGACCCCAGAGGTGTAGAGGGCTGGGGTTTGTAGGGCTTTCGCAGGGTTGGGGGGTTGGTAAGAGTGAGGGGCGACTGGAAACAACGGTCACTACGCTAAGAAAACTCAATACCTGCGAGCCTTAAACCCTCATCCTACGCCCAGAACTTGGAATGCCTAAGCCCGCCCTGGCCTCTTCATTCCCAACCCCAAACGCTGAGACCTAAATGGCATAAAACCCTAAGGTTACATTTTTAAAAGTTCAGGGTTTTGAGGTCAGGGCTTAGGCTTTAGGGGCGTGGGGGCTAGGGTTGCATGCAGGGTTGCATGTGCACCAGAAGCAACGTGGTGAAAGAGCTTGAACACCAGCTGCGAACGGCTGTCTCAACGCAAGCTTCGGAGGAATCTTTCACACTTTCCCCTAAACCCTAAACCCCAAACCCTAAACCCCAAACCCCAAAACCCTAAACCCTAAAACCCCGAAGGCTGCAACCTCCGACGTTGGGGAACTTCGAGCCCGCATCTCCCAGCTGGAAGCCGAGAACTCACTGCTCGCCAGCCAGCTTTCCGGATCAGAGGCGCGTGGCTGCGGAAGGGGATGTATAAGGTGTAGGGTTGAGGGTTTGGGGTTTAGGGTTTAGGGTTTTTGGGTTTTTGGGTTTTTGGGTTTTAGGGTTTCAGGGTTTAGGGTTTTAGGGTCTTAGGGTTTCAGGGTTTCAGGGTTTCAGGGTTTTAGGGTTTTAGGGTTTTAGGGCTTTAGGGCTTCAGGGCTTTAGGGCTTCAGGCCTTAGGGATTTCCTTTGCTGCTCCCTTTCCCTCGCCTTGGCCGATGTCAGGTGGTCTTGGCAGGCCTTCGCTCTGAGTGTGCCAATGCAAATGCACGCCGAAGCCCCTGTGCATCAGCAGAGCTCATGGGTACTACTTAAACCCTAAACCCAAAACCCTAAACCCCAAACCCTGGGGGGGGTTTGGGGGGGTTTGGGGGGGGGGTTTGGGGGGGGTTTGTACCCCGAATTGGGGTACCTCGAATATATGCCCCAGAAGAGTGTAACTGTATCAGAGAAACCCCTAGCAAAGGGTACCCCTGTTTGGGGAAACCCCCGTACCCTACACTCGAAACCCATACATGCATATCCCCACATATATATATATACATATCCATATTGTACATTTTATATACAATATACACTCTCTCTGTATATATATATCTGTACAAGAAATATATATTTTTTGGCAAGCCGACTGCAGATTCCTTCGGAGTCTGTTCCTCGCTCAGGGCTGATGCGACAGCACCACGAGGATGGGTCACGAGCCCTTTCGAGGCACGACTCTCGGTTAAGCGCTTTATGGGGGTTTATGGAGTTACAGGCCTTGTATGGTCTTTTCGGGGGTTTGATAGGGTTTATATATGTTTATATAGGGTTTGTAGGATTAATAGGGCTGAGGAGGGTTTGGGGTTTAGGGTTTTGGGAAGAGGAGTTTGCAGCTAAGGGGTGCCATCGCACCTGCGACCGGGGCAAACTTGGCGAAGCCCTCGGTGCCGAGGAGAGGAGGCACTGCTGCGGTTGCTGCACTGCACGGCGCGCTCCACAGGCATCGCCTGCGCACGCAGCGCCCAAAATGGAGCCCGCTGCTGAGACTGTCAAGTTGGCTGTTCAGTGTACCGTTCCTCCCCAAAACCCGCCTCAATCCCAAAAGCTTCAGCACAGATTGGTCGGTGTCCCAGGACTGTGCCCAGCTTGCCCTGCACTTGCCGCGCTGTTCCGGCCCGAGCCCTAAGAAGATTGTGAACCTGATTCGGGGTTTAGTGCAGTACCTGCACACGCGACCAAAGGCATTGGAGGCAAACTTCCTGCCCCCGGCAAGCAGCGAGCAACAAAAAAGATCGGTGGTCAGCTTTTGCTCCCGTGCAGCTCGTGTTAGTTTCTCCAAAGCAGGCAACATGTTGGCCGGTTCGACGTGCTTCTTGCGAACTGGCTCAAGTGCCCCGGGAAGGTTAGAAGGCATCAGACTAGCAGGGTCTTTGTTCCAGCAGTGGTCTCCTGAAAGGCCAGGCGCAGTGTAATGAAGCGCAACAACATGTAACAGTCCCAAACCAGCCCTAAACAGCAGACTCAGTGCCTCTGAGGAAACATGCCAATCATTGGCTACCTGCAGGCTCAGGCATTGGCGATGCCCATGAGTAACTCCTTTCATTCGGGATTAAAACACACGAGGAGCTGACCCCAAACCCTAAACCCTAAACCCTAATCCCTAAACCCTAAACCTGCTATGTGACCCAGGCAAAGGAAGAAAAGACACCTGTGGGTGAAGCTTCCGTACAGCGAGCGGAGAGTCTGGAAGGAGCGTCGGGATTCAAAACCCCATGTGATTCCTTCCCCAAATGAGGGGTACCCTTAATATAGATATACCTCCAAACTAGTAGAACCCTTATTAAAGGAACCCCAGGGGTACCCTTAATATACCTCCAAACTAGTAGAACCCTTATTCGAGGAACCCCCAAAAGGGTACCCCCCCCCCCCCCCCCCACCTAATTTCGGAAAGCCCCATGTGAAGCTGTCGTGCCACGTGTGTTGCCCAAGAAGGAGCATACTCGTTCGGAGCCCGAAAGCTCCTCGGCTTGACCAGGGTTGAGGGTTTGGGGTTTAGGGTTTAGGGTTTGGGGTTTAGGGTTTAGGGTTTGGGGGTTTAGGGTGTTAACAGTGGTTCCGAACCGGCCAGTTCGCCTGATCTGCCAGGCGAGCTGGCACAGGTCAGCTCAATGTGCCACCGGGTTGCATCTTGAGCAGGAGGGTTTAGGATTCATTGTGGACGCTTGAAGCTTGAAGCTGCAACCGAGAACGGACATCCTCAAAGCCTCCTCGGACGACTCTGACGATGTTTCTTGGCATTCTGAGTGCTTTCCTTTTTTGTTTGTGCTGTGGCCAGTCTGAGTCGATCCACAGAGATCTCCTGAAGCTCATGAAGACTTCTCTGAAAATCTTTCTTGCTGCGCCAAGCAGCCGAGCGTAAGTTACTTTCTTGGCCACCCTGATGAGGACTTCGACACCCAGAAGCCAGGTTCCAATTTCAAGATTGGCTGCCGTCGCAAGGCCGGACCATGCTCCACTTGATTCAATGTCTCCCAGGCACCTTCTCTTCGTGCTCTTGTGATGCGCAGGGGCTGTTCTAAACCCGGAGGCTGAGTCTGAACCTGAGACCTGCCTTCCTTGAGCTGAGTTATGTGGAAAGAAGCAGCATGTATGCATGCGCGAATATGACATCAGGACCTTTTCAAATCAGCCGTCGCAACAGCTCCATGCTCAGAACAAACTGCACCACGTGGAAGGAGCTCGACCAACACTGAACTGAGGCTCAACAGTTGTTCTCGTGAGGGCATGGTCTCTTAGATAGGTCTACGTGTAGTTCTCTCATGTAGCAGCTGGGCACAGGAAGCAGCGCCCGAGCGCTCTGTTCACCAACGTGATGCTCCAGACTCCAGAACGGGAGAGTAAAAATTAGGGTATACATATGTATATACATATTATTATATATATATATATACACACATTATGGTTCTACACACATACAGATATATATATATATATATATATATACAAACACATACATGTCTATCTATATGTATCTTTGCTATTGTACTTAAACATTTGTATTGCTTCATGTCTTCATTGTTTTGTCTTTTGCATATACATACTGTACGTAATATTGCACACACACACATATATATGTATATATATATATGTATATATATATATATATATGTATATGTATATATATATATGTATATATATATATAATATGTATATATACTTACACTATACAAAGCGGTGTAGTATATACTTCTTGTTTCTGTATTTCGCATGTTTGTGATAATGTTCTATATATCTATATACATATGTATTATGTGTTATGATTTTTTCGTAGAAGATATGTGTGTACACACATGCGTATGCAATATATATATATATGTATAATAGGCTATACAGTCTCTACTTGATATTTATTGTTTTAATACGAAGTCTTAGTGATGTTGTCGGGGTTGTTACATGGAATTAACGGTCGTGTGGAGCCAGCGTTCTTCGTTTAAGACACATCATCGTCTCGGACGAGTCATGAAATGGGCAGGATGGCCAGAACTTTCCAAAACTTAATTGAGAAAGCTCGCGGAGTGACCTGCGTACTGAAGAGCAGTAGTATTGAGAAGCTGGGGTCATGCAAACATCCACACTGAATCTAAGCAGCCGGATAGATTTGATTGAACAGAGCTGTTCATTGTCACCTGAATGGCGCCGATCAGTGCAAACAAGTCGTTCTACGTTTTGCATCGCATCAGGTAGGGCGGCGCTGTTCGTATTGCGGCGACATGCCGACAGCTCTGTCTGTAGTTAAGGGTTTAGGCTTGGACCATCCTGCCTTCACTGACCCGAGCTGGCTAGTTTTAGATAAGGTTCAGACCTTTCGACAAAGGCAGCCGCGCTCGGACACGGGGAAACAGCAGTCCTTGTGTCTGACCGAAGCTTTGAAAGGCTGAGCCGTGAAGCATGAGCGAGGCTCATGCACAGACAGGACCTTGAGCTGGAGCCACTTGCAAGTCCCAGAAAGGTTCGGTCGAATGTGGTAGGAGTTCACTGCTACGCTCAGACTCTGATATGCTCGGAGACTCTGCGGAGGCCCCCGATTCGGTCCTTTTTTGGCTGCTGGTGTACAGGATTGCTGGAGGTGCTACTTTCAAGAATTCGAGTTCCGCGCTCCGCGGATGCTCTCTTCCGCACTTCTGCTCCTGTGTTACCGCAGCTGTGCCAATAAACGCGTGTCAAATGCAAAGCTCCCATGCCCACGTTCTTGCAGACATGGCTGCCTGTATGCCTTCATGCGCACTCAAGACAGTTGCATGTCAACGCATGGTGGGGCGTTTCCTTTCAAGAGAGCTCTTTTCCTCTCTTGCTCTGCGCTAGACACTAGTGCTTTGCGCAGTGAAAGCAGAATCATGATTTCACCCCTCTATATATATATATATAAGCTTACTTAATTTATACATATATACATATGTATGCATGCATGCATGCATGCATGTATGTATGAATAACCAGGCCGACGGTTCTTGTAGAGAGTCTCTGATCGCATCTGTCACGTTCTTTTAAGGTCTGCAAATCTAAAGTCTATCACAGGTTTTATGCAGGTGAAGATGGCTGGCCCGTCATGGATTCGCTGATTGCGAAAGCTTTCGCAAATTTCGAAGGCCAGCGCTTGGCCGAACTTCTTTGCGAGGACGTCGAGAATGAAGAGGCGCAGACAGTTGTCCTGCAGCAGTGGGAAGCCATGGGCGATTCCGCACGCTTGCAGTGGGCTGCCGAACCGCTTGTCAAAGATGCCGATGTAGCTGATGTAGAAATGGCTCCGGAAGCTATTCCCGTGGATTCCATACACGCTGAACCCGCAGGGGCCCCAACACCTTCAAGGGCTGGAAGGAAGAGGCCAGCAGAAAAGCACAGCGCAGCCGGTAAGAGCAAAGCCGGCAAGTCCTCCAGGTCTTCAAAGGGTCCAGGCCAGAGGCAGAGCATCGTTGGCCCTTGCAGCCCTCCGGCGCATCCGGCCGGTGAGTGGATTTATCCTGCGATGCGGCTTGAGCCTGCAGAAGCTGAAGGCGTAGAGGACATGCAAGAGCTTGAGCATGAAGGGCAGCATGGGCAAGTGGACAAAGAGGACGAGACAGAGGGGAGGCAGCATGCCTTTCGATCGTCCCACGTGGTTCAGGTAGGCGGGCACCATCCTGACTGGTTGACAGAGCCTGCAGCTGTCGCAGAGATATCGCTTCCACGGCTATCGTGCGAGGAGCAGCTGTATATACCAAGATCTGTTGCGGAGAATGGGTGTCTGAGCTCCATCCAGATGGAAAGCGTTGCCTACGCAGCCCGGCGATTTCGCTCTTATTTGCCATCCGGGGCCCGTGCTGGGTACTATTTGGGTGATGGCACGGGGTGTGGAAAAGGTCGCATCATAGCAGCCCTGATCTGGCACCTCTGGAACAGCGGTGCTAAACGGCATGTGTGGCTGAGCGCCCACCTCAGCTTCTTGAAGCACTCTAATGCTATCAACGGCTTATGATTGGGAACTTCATGTGGGTACTTTCCCCAAGAATCTTGGTCGTGTTGGTTGCAACGGGCTTGTGTTGGTGTATTCACGTGGAGGAACCCGACGTTGGATCTCTGAGGTTCTGTCCTTGGGCCAGGGGCCAGTGAAGGAACCCTTTAGAAACCTTTAGAACCCTCTATGTTTAGAGTTTAGGATTTAGGGCTTGGGAGGTACCCATGTTTTTGTAAGCAGCTTCACATGACTTCCAATTGCTGCGCCATGTAGTGTCTTGACCCTGAAGTCAAAACGCCTGAAGCCCTAAACCCCAAACGCCGGATGTCGCCCCAAAGTTCTTCGAAAGATCTCTGGCTAAAGACGCTCTTGCGAAAGCACGTTTAGTTGAGGGCTTCGGGTTTAGGGCCGGGGTCCTAAAGAGCAAACCCTAGACCCCAAACCCCACGCCGGCTTAGGGAAGATCACGGAATATGGCGGCCGTTCTCGACTCGACCTCTCTTGCTGGTCGACCCGCTCTCGTCGTTCTTGATTTGCGCCACCGTCCAACACGTGCTTGCCCCGTTCCTGACAACACCCCCTGCTGTTCCCGACTCGCCCTCTGCCTGCTCTCAACACGTGTCTCAGACTCACCGTCACCCATCATCCGCTTCCCCAGAATAGGGGTGTTTGCATCAGTTTTCCCCGAAAAAGTCGAATAATTATTCCACCCCTTTGTGGGAAGTTGGGTTCAGGCTCTTGGCTATAGTCGAATTCTGCTTTGAGAAAGGTGCCAGCAATGACCTGCTGGAAGATGCGACGAGGGACTTTCGAGACCTGGGGGCAGCGCTGCCCTTGAGTAGCTTGTCATCTTTCGGCTACGGCCCAATTATGTCTGGTCATGGGCTGGATGGAGATGGCAACGGAGTGATCTTTGCCAGCTATCAGCTCCTGGTCGCCTCCAAGGGAGGCGCCTCGGGTATTCCCACGCCCGAGACATCGCGACTCGGCCAGCTCATCGATTGGCTCCGGCACGGCAAAGGTGGCGCCCGTGGGCTCATCGCCCTCGACGAAGCCCACCGCACCAAGAATGTGGGGACAAGCACGCAGGTGGCTATT